TGTATGTATGAATGTGAGTTAGGGACCTTAGATTGTACGCCCCTTGAGGGTTAGGGACTGATGTGAATGTACAATATATATGTAAAGTGCTGTGTAAATTGACAGCTCTATAGAAGTACCTGAAGAAATAAATAAATAAAATACTAGATTTCCAGTTCCTTGTTATAAGTGATCTAGCTGATAACAAAAGATGGGCCACCACCGTGCAGTAGAGGATACATATATAGTTATAAACATTATCTACTAAGATAATGTTTATAACTCTTTGCATGGCATCTGACAGCTGTCTGCCAGAGGTGAAGCCAGTTTGGTCTGGCTTAATCAAAATAGTTAAGATTGGAAGGAATCTAGAAGCTAGAATCTTAGCATATAATTTTTCCACGAGATGTCATGGATGGTAGAAGAGGAGACTGATTGTAATAACATTGTATCCACCAATCTCATATCAATGTTTAAATTTAATTGTGTCTGGAGGGGTAAAAAGGGTAGTCGTGTTAATTTATGTGCTGACATCTCCACACATAGACATCTTCGGCATGGAGAAGCGGTTGTAACATAGACAGGTCATTTTAATTTTGAGTTGGAGTCCATCTTCTAATCCGCAGTAAGGTTGTAGTCTCCGCATATTAACAAAGCCCCTTTCCTGACAGGTGATTTTGCAGAAAGTTCTCATAAAGTGGAGCTGGTTATTCTAAGGTGCCCATTTCTTAACAGTGGTATAAAGTTTATTATTTAACTCACAGATTAAGTATCTTCCTTTGGGGTCCGGAAAGGTTTCGTGGAGATTAAAAGATATAAAGTTCTTAATGGCAATAAGCACACCTTTTTTGCTTTTTGGATGCTGAGGCTATGAATATGTGTAGGAAAACTCCTTTGATGGAAAGCAGGTGTGTTGGAGACAAAAAAATGTGTCTCATGGATGCACAATATATTGCCTAGTTTAAGGGCTTCTCTCCACAGTGAAGACCTCTTTACAGGGTGGTTTAGTCCGTGCACATTAAAGGACATCATCTTAAGTACCATATTTAGGAAATAAATGGGTAACATGATATTAGCTCCTAGGGTCCAAGGAGCATCCAGTAGAGTTTTGGACTTGGTGCCAATACCAATGCATAGGACACATGATGCTTCTCAAGCGTGGGTGGCAGATTCCTCTTAGGAAGTGTTTATTACGAAACACAAAAAGTCAGACAGTGGGTGGAGAAAGAAAAAACTGAAATTTCAAACAAATTAGGTCCAAAGTAGTAAAAAGGGAGATTCCAACTGGATTCTGATGGCAGTTGCACTGCACATTGTACTGGAAGGGGAACTTCGTGAGCTATAAGCTCCATGGTACTACAGGAATCTAGGGGATTGGTGTTCAGGTGTTATGCTTTTTGTTTTTTACGTTAATGGGACACTGCTTGCTAGTTCTGTGTATTGAGCTTGGGTGAGGAAGAGGAGTGCAAATGTTCTTGTTCCGGTATAATGTCCCATGATCAGAGTAGTGTCAGGCTTTCCTCAAGAGTAGTAACTACTGAGCTGTTCCCATCGTGTCTGATGGTCCATTTGGTCGGGTAACCCCAGTGGTATTATATTATGGTTGTGCGATGCCTTTGTTAGAGGCAACAGAGATTTGCATTTCTGCATTGTGTACTGCAAAAGATCGCAAATAGTTGAATAGATGCATATTTTTCAGGTGGCTGTGAATTCTTTCAAAAGGCTAGCATGAACTGTTCTTTAATGAAAAAAATGTACCCGCATCAGAACATCCCTAGGGACATTATCTGGGAGATGGGCCGGCTTTGGTAAGCGGTGGATTCTGTCAATCACTAGATCTGAATCGGGCACTGAAGGTAGAAAGACTCTCATGAGGTCATGTGCATATTCCTGGAGTTGTACTGGTTGTATAGCCCCAGGGATGCCACATATTTTTACATTGTTCCTTGACCTGTCCTCCACATTTGCTATTTTAGCTTTGAGCCATGCCACTTTTTGATCACATTTTGATCATTGTGGGTGTCCTCCTGTGAATTATAGGAGACATCATATTCTCCCATTTTCTGCTCAATATGGTCAATTCTCCCACCTCAGCTTTAAAGTTCTGCATGCATTCCACCATTTCGGCATGTAGAAAACTGTGGAGAGAGACAAGCATGTCTTTCAAGATTGTATTTGAGATTGGTTGCTGGTAGGGAAAGCATTGATGGACTCACCTTTGTGCCACAGAATCCAGCTTCCAGGTGGGATTTAGTTTTGGCCAGGCTTCTAGAGAGCGGTATGGATGCCCTCTGGTGATTGCTGTTGGGATTCAGGCTGTTATCTCAGGCTCTGTGAAGTAGAGAGGGAGCTGCTAGAAGAGGCCGGGGAATGGCCGCTGGCGCCATCTTTAGTACTGGCCATCTCCGCCGGCGGGAAGAAATGCTGGAGTTTCTATAGCTGTGATGATTTTTTCCTCTTGCGGGTCATCGCTGGAGATCAGGTGGCTACACAGGTGGATGCAAGGCAGGCTTGGTTCGGGCTATGGTCGCCTTGACATGCTTAGATTCCCGGCACTGGAGCGGAGCTTCAGTCTCAAACGGCCATACAGCAGCGCGACAAACTCCCCCCCCCCCCCCCCCCCAATTATCTTCTCTGATGATAGCATGGGTTAGGTAAAAATATTAGTCCGTTTTCAAGGAAAATGGACTTCTGATTGTCTGGATATTCCTGTAGAAAAACATTATTATACAGGATTTATATAGTGCCCAACAGTTTACACAGTGCTTTACAACATGAGAGCAGTGCAGTTACAATACAATTCAACACAGGAGGATTCAGAGGTCCCTGGTCATTAGAGCTTACAATCTAAGAGGGAGGGTTAAGAGATACAAAAAGTAATAACTGTGGGGGATGAGCTGCTGGAGGAAAAAAAAATGCAATTCTAAGGTGGAGGCGGGATAGGATTCTCTGATTTTTCTCTGGGTTTTCAGGGATTGTCTAAATGTGGGAAGAGTAAGAGAGAGTCATACAGATCGGCGTAGGGAGTTACATAGGATGGGAGAGGCTCTGGAGGAGTCCTGGAAGTGATCTTGGGAGGAGGTGCCAAGATAGTTGGATAACAGGAGGTCCTAGGAGGAATGAAGAGAACGATTAAGTTAGTATTTTGAGACTAGTTTAATGATGTCGCTCAGGGCCGACTTGTGGATGGCTTTGTAAGTTGTTAACATTTTGAATTTAATTTGTTGGGTGAGGTGAAGCCAGTGGAGGGATTGGCAGAGAGGGTGCATACAATGTATGGTTGGTAAGGTGGACAAGTCTGGTAGCGACATTCATGATGGACTGAAGAGGGGATAGCCTATTTAAAGATAAGCCAATGAGGAGGGAGTTGGAGTAGTCAAGGCGAGAGATAGCCAGGGAGTGAATTAGAAGCTTTGTGGTGTCATTGGAGAGAACATCCTAAAAAAATAAATTAATGTTGAATACCTATCTGAATTGGATCATGAAGGAATTGTCTTGTTTTTCGGTGTAGTTAAACTTAAATATACCTGATATATTGTGCTTATATAAAAGACAAATCACTGTGACTGCATGTTTCCTTTTAAAAATGGTCACTACACAATCACTTGTTGCATGATGTGTATTGAGCACAATGGTATGTATATAATTTTAGCTGCTGTTTTTCACCTCCTTTGCTTTTCAGCATTTTTTTAATTTTATTTTTAGTTTAATATTCTTTTATTTCCTGCACAGGGCACACATCTCAAAAGGAAGCTCTGGAGATGAGTCTGGACATAACGGCTCTTAGTGTACTCCAACAGCCAGAGAAGCTACAGTGGGAGATTGTTGCTAATGTTCTTGAAGATACTGTAAAGGATTTAGAAGAACTTGGTGCAAATCCTTCCTTAATGAGTTGTAAAAGTGAAAAGACCAAGGAGAAGCACTTGGAGCAGCACAACATTCCTTTTCCTTGCTTACTGACTGGTGGTTTATTAACATACAAGTCCCCAGCTTCCTCCCCCACTAGTAGCAATTCTCGCAGGTCCCTGGATGCTTTAAACAGGACTCCAGGTGAGAGCTGCTCAGAGCAGGGTTCCACCGACAATGAATCTGGCACGAACTCTGATCTTAATTCTCCTATGGTAAAAAGGACTCTACCTGTGTTGTTGCTGTACAGCATTAAAGAGGCGGATGAAAAAGCAGGAAAACTATTTTCTCAGATGAACAATATTATGAGCAAAAGTTTACATGATGATGGATTTACTGTTCCACAGATCATTGAGATGGAGTTGGATAACCAGGAGCAGTTACTTCTTCAGGACCCACCCGTCACCTATATACAGCAATTTGCTGAGGCCACTGCCAATCTGACATCCCCTGACACAGATAAATGGACTTCTATGGTTCCCAAGCCTGGAACACTTGTGCAATGCATGCGGCTGCCTAAATTTGCAGAGGAGGAAAATCTTTGTGTAGATTCCATTATTCCTTGTGCTGATGGCATCCATCTTTTAGTAGGTTTACAGAAATGTCCCGCAGAATCATTGAGTGCAATAAATCAAGTAGAGGCCTTGAATAATTTAAACAAATTAAATTCTGCTCTTTGTAATAGGAGAAAAGGAGAAGCTGAACACAGCCTTGGAGCTGTGAATGGAACAAGTATTAATGTTATCCCCTGTCAGTCCTCAGCAGATGTTCATGATCCTTTAATAATTCAGCCAGACCAGAGAAGTGTTAGTGGTGGATACTTGTTGATTTATAAAATGAATTATACCACAAGGATAGTGACCTTAGAGGAGCAGCCAGTAAAGATCTTACACATTAAAGACCCTCAGGATGCACTTACCTCACTTATTTTATTACAGCCTGATATTTTAGATAACAGAGAGGATGAATGTGAGGAATCCTCTGAAGATGCCCCCCTTACGCCTAAAAATCTCAGCAGTAAAGAGAAGAAATCTGATTTGCTGAGTTTGGGACATTTAGTAGTAACAACTCAAAGTGGATTTGTTAAAATCCTAGATCTTTCTACCTTCGAGGTCATGGCTAGGGTGGATCCACCAAAGAAGGAAAGTACAGATGAAGTGGACCCTTTTGTTTCAGTTGTGTACTGTTCGGGCACTGATAGATTGTGTGCCTGTACTAAAGGTAAGGAACACAGCTTTGTGGTGATGGTGCATATTATGGTGCGATACAAAATTGAAAATACATTTGAGTCTCTCAAATTTTTCCATCGGTCTAGTTTAATCTACAGACTGCTTATAGGAAATTGTTTTGCATTGGCCCTTTTCGAACATTATTCATCTGTGGGAATAGCTTCCACAATGAATATGCCTTGTAGTAGTGTTTTCTAAAGAATTCCATCTGTTCTATACTTTTTTTGATTTCTTTTGGTTGATAAGAAGGTAGTAGGAACACATTATCCCTGTACAGAAGTAAATCTTTGTATAGGCATAAAAGTTTAAAATAAAAAAAAAAAATAAACCAGGGCAAGGGACAGTACTGAATAACAAGTGCCCCCCCTTGTCTCATTTAATAGGAAATGTCCCGTGTGCTGGCGCTGACTGTCCTAGTTGAAATAGGTCCTCTACCTCTGTTCTCTCCTCTGTTTTTCCTCCTGCGCTTTCCTGTGTCCCAGTGGGAGATGTTTTAGTGAACCTAATCTCCCCCCACCGAATACTGAGCACAGGCTTAGATGTTGTTAGGACCAGCACTATGTAGGTTAAATTTAAATGATAGAGTACAAGGATTCCCCTCTACTTAAACTAATTGCAGAAGCTTTTTTTTCTTTTTGGCAAGTTGAAACTCTCTGGTTCCGATAACAGCAGAGGGGTTCCTTCTACTTGCACGGGGTAAATGTCGGGTTGATGTCTTTAATTTTGCCAGTGCGGTCAGGAGGCATTGTTGGTGGTGGGTTAGTCCGGGATATTAAGTGCAGGCACAGAAATCATTTTTCCTTTTAAGGGGTGAGGGTAGAAAGTGATTCTAGTATCCATCATTAGTGTCACTGTCTCCCAGCTCATTAGTGTCACTGGCTCACAGATTCTGTAGGGGAAAAACCTTTTAGGTATGGGAGGAGACATGGAAGTGCAAGCTGTCGAAATCCAGCATGGGTCAGCAGTTTTTTTTCAGACCACGTAATAAATGGGAGACCTGAGTCGTGCACAAAAGAACTTACCTTTGCTTTGGCAGAACCTTCTACTGGTAACTCCAAAGTAAGAGTAAATTATATATTAAAGTGAAATTTCACCCAAAGGGGGAAGTTCCGCTGCTCCTCTTCATATCCCCTCTGTCGAAATTGGCAACTTTTTTTTGGGGGGGGAGAAGCAGTTACTTGGTTTTGACAGGTACCCGCTACCACTTCTGCTCCGACCACCTAGATGATTGGAGCGAAAGGTCACCTCCCCCTCCTCTTCCTGCAGCCTATTGGGACACATCACAGGTCCCAAGAAACTGCAGGACCATTCAAAAGGTGAAGCGCGACTCATGCATGCGCACTTGGCAGCCGGCTGTGCAGCCACAAGCAGTCAGTCAGCTGTCCACAGTTAATATGCTGTCACAGAAGAGCAGTGAAGAAACCTCCTCTGTGTTAATGTACAAATCCTTCTGTGCGAAAGGATCCCCCTAGCTCCCCTTACCTGACTTACCTGAGCCCAAACTTCAGCGCTGTGCCCAAGAGTAGCGGCTCTCTCCTCTTTTTCCTCACAGGGCAGATTGATAATCTGATAATCAAATTCTGGGACAAGGGGATGGGGATGTGGTGAGACATGTTGTCTGTAGATGCAGACAGCATGGCCCGGGCCCTCGTCCCCCTAGTTCCCTTCCACCACCAGTTTCTTTCCTAGTGTCCCTAGATTTGATAAAGAAAAGGGGCATAAATAGAAAAAAGGATACCATATCCTAAATATCCAACAATTTATAGATCAAAGAGAAGCACCACACTGACTTATAATGTATGCACAGAAATATAACTTTTTTTTTTTTGTATGCAAATCTATAAATAGTTAAGAATTCCAACACTTGTATCTATCCTGATATATACATAATACAAAAAAAACTCATCCAGAGATTGTGTCGTACCCCCAGTACAGATAAATAAATGTGTAAACCATATCTCTTATGCATTTTAATAGTCTGTGTTAGAGTATCAACAACACATTATAGTGACAAACTGGGAGTGAGACTGTTTTCTGGAAGCTACAACTCCAATTCCAAAAAAAAAATGGGATGCTGTGAAAAAATCTACATAACAGGATGCAACAATTTGACAATCTTATAATCCCATATTTTATTCACAGTAGGAAAACCTATCATATCTTTAAACAGAAAATGTACCATTTTAGGAAAAAAGGTAATTTTGAAATTGATGGCAGCAATACGTCTCAAAAAAGTTGAGACAAGGTAACAAAAAGCTGGCAAAGAAATTGGTGCTAGCAAGGAAGAGCTGGATTTTACAGCTAACTAGGTTATTTGGCAACAGGTCAGTCACGTGATAGGTATAAAAAGAGCATCTTAGAGAAAGTGTCACAGAAGTAAAGATGGGCAGAGGTTCACCAGTCTGTTAAAGCTGCATCTAAAAATTGTAAATTTCAGAAAATGTTCTTCAATGTAAAATTGCAAGGACTTTAAATATATCATCTACAGTACGTAATACCAAAAGATTCAGAGAATCTGGAGAATTCTGTGATGGACATTCACATCACTGTCTGTGAACACTGTGCCATCCAAAAATCAAGGTAAAGCTACATGTAAAGAAGTCCTATCTTAACATAATTCAGAAGCGCCACCTTCTTCTCTGTTCAAAGTTCATTTAAAATGGTCTGTTAAAAAGTGGAAAACTGTTCTATGGTCAGAAGATTTGACATTCTTTTTGGCAACTGTGTGCACTGCGTCCTCCAGACTGAAGTGGAGAGGGACCTTCCAGCTTATCAGCCCTCCATCCAGTTGCCTGCATCTTTAATAGTATGGGGGGCATTAGTGTGCATGGAATGGGCACTAGCACATCTGGAAAGTCACCATCAATCCTGAAAGATATACATTACTTCACAGAAGTGAGTACACACATTTTTGTAAATATTTTACTATATCTTTTTATTATATCGTTTCATGTGACAACACTGAAGAAATGACACTTTGTTACAATGTAAAGTAGTGAGTGTACAGCTTGTATAACCGTGTAAATTTGCTGTCCCCTCAAAATAACTCCACACACAGCCATTAATGTCTAAACTACTGGCAACAAAAGTGAGTACACCCCTAAGTGAAAATGTTCAAATTAGGCTCAATTAGCCATCCCCCCGGTGTCATGTGACTCGTTAGTGTTACAAGGTCTCAGGTGTGAACGGGGAGCAGGTGTGTTTAAATTTGGGGTTATCGCTCTCTCTCTCATACTAGTCACTGGAAGTTCAACATGGCACCTCATGGCAAAAAACTCTGAGGATCTTAAAAAAAGAAGTGTTGCTGTACATAAAGATGGCCTAGGCTATAAGAAGATTGCCAAAACCCTGAGACTGAGCTGCAGCACGGTGGCCAAAACCATACAACGGTTTAACAGGACAGGTTCCACTCAGAACAGGCCTCGCCATGGTTGACCAAAGTAGTTGAGTGCACATGCTCAGCTTCATATCCAGAGGTTGTCTTTGGGAAATAGACGTATGAGTGCTGCCAGCATTGCTGCAGAGGTTGAAGGGGTGGGGAGTCAGCCTGACAGTGCTCAGACCATACGCCGCACACTGCATCAAATTGGTCTGCATGGCTGTCATCCCAGAAGGAAGCCTCTTCTAAAGATGATGCACAAGAAAGACCGCAAACAGTTTGAAGACAAGCAGACTAAGGACATGAATTACTGGAACCATGTCCTGTGGTCTGATGACACCAAGATAAACTTATTTAGTTCAGATGGTGTCAAGCGTGTGTGACGGCAAACAGGTGAGGAGTACAACTACTAGTGTGTCTTGCCTACAGTCAAGCATGGTGGTGGGAATGTCATGATCTGGGGCTGCATGAGTGCTGCCCGCACTGGGGAGCTACAGTTCATTGAAGGAACCATGAATGCCAACATGTACTGTGACATACTGAAGCAGAGCATGATTCCCTCCCTTCGGAGACTGGGCCGCAGGGCAGCATTCCAACATAACGACCCCAAACACACCTCCGAGACGACCGCTTCCTTGCTAAAGAAGCTGAGGGTAAAGGTGATAGACTGGCCAAGCATGTCTCCAGACCTAAATCCTATTGACCATCTGAACATCTTGACCAGTGGCAACCTGTGAAGCTCTGGTTAACTCCATTCCCAAGAGGGTTAAGGCAGTGCTGGAAAATGGTGGCCACACAAAATATTGACACTTTGCGACCAATTTGGACATTTTCACTTAAGAGTGTACTCACTTTTGTTGCCAGCAGTTTAGACATTAATGGCTGTGTGTTGAGTTATTTTGAGGGGACAGCAAATTTACACTGTTATACAAGTTGTACACTCACTACTTTACATTGTAGCAAAGTGTAATTTCTTCAGTGTTCTCACATGAAAAGATATCAAATATTTACAAAAATGTCGGGTGTACTCACTTTTGTTGCCAGCGGTTTAGACATTAATGGCTGTGTGTTGAGTTATTTTGAGGGGACAGCAAATTTACACTTATACAAGCTGTACACTCACTACTTTACATTGTAGCAAAGTGTCATTTCTTCAGGACAGGCTAGGAGGCTATATTAGGTCAGGGCTTCTGGAGTCCCCCCACCTTTCCAGACACCTGAAGCTTTCTGGAGGAGGGGAGGAGGCCCAGATCTGCATGTTTGAGGAACTCTGGCCAATCCCCTGGCAGAAGACTGGGCACGATGATCAGGGCAACCCTCAGTTTAGACATTAATGGCTGTGTTGAGTTATTTTGAGGGGACAGCAAATGTACACTGTTATACAAGCTGTACACTCACTACTTTACATTGTAGCAAAGTGTCATTTCTTCAGTGTTGTCACATGAAAAGATATATTAAAATATTTACAAAAATGTGAGGGGTGTACTCACTTCTGTGAGATGCTGTATATCCAGGTTTTAGAGCAGAAAATGTTCCCATCCAGGTGGCGTCTATTTCAGGGAAGGCCTTATGTATTTCAGCAGGACAAAGCTAAACTGCATAGTGCATCTATAAAAACAGCTTGGCTTTGTAGTAGAAGAGCCATGTTATTTAACTGGCCTACAGTCCAGACCATTCACCTTTCCCAAAACGCTAGCAACTTATCGTCTGAGTTTCCAGACAATATTTAGAAAGTTAAAAGAAGAGGGTATGCTACACCATGGTAAAAATGGCCCTGCCTCAACTTTCATGAGACGTGTTGCTGACATCTATTTCAAAATTGCCAATTTTTTTGGTTAAAATGGTAAATTTTCTCAGTTTAAACATTTTGATATTTTTTTGATTTTCTTTTGTGAATAACATATGGGTTTATGAGATTTGAAAATTATTGCTTTCTGTTTTATGTGATTTTCCAGTCTTCCATCTTTTTTGGAATTGGGATTGTAGCTCACTTCTTCAGGAGTACGGATGAGGTGTGCAATATAGAATTCTAGATGGCGTTCTGGAGTGCTGAGAAGTACTGCCGACAAATATCTCCGGGTGCTCACACTGGCCAAGAGGACTACGACAGGATGACCTTGCCTTTTATGTGTTGGTTGGCATAGCAACAGTATAAGAGGGGCTTCTTCTGTTTACCCTTCGAAATGCAACGTAAAAGAAATAAAAAAAAAAAAACTCAGATGGTTTGTGTTAATGTGGTTCTAAAGTCTGAACATTTTTATCTTAATGCATTCCATAGGTCAAGGTAAAACTGTCCAAGTGTTTGTATTGCCCCCTCACCATCTCCTCCTGCCCCCCCCCATATACTTGCTTTTCCTATCTTGATCCAGCACTGTATTGCAGTGGCTCTCTCCTCTCTCTTTGCTCACAGAGGCAGCAGGGAGAGCCGATGGCTCCTACTGCTGTCAATCAAATCCTGTGAGCAGAAAACCGGGGACAAGGCTGAGTCGTGTTGTGTGTGGGTGTCAGTAGACACACACAGCACAGCTCCGGATCAGCCTCATAGCAAGCGGTTTGCTATGGGGGCAGAGACAATAGAGTAGGAGGGCCACAGTAGAGGAGGTGCGGGGCTGCTCTGTGCAAACCAGTGTACAGAGCAGGCAAGTATCACCTGTTTTAATTTTAAAAAAATACAGTTAAATACTTTAGGAATCGGATACACAGGTCCACACCTTCCAATTCTGCATTAAAATGATCCCTGCATTTTTTTAGGCAGACAGATTTTCCTGTTTTCTTTTCCAGGAAGTCTTAAGATGTTCTCTGGCTTAGAGATCCACTATCCACGAAGTGGTTTTGTCAGGTTGTTGTGCAGACCTGTGAATTGCAATATAAAGTACCTCTTTCTTTTTCAACCCCACTTTGCTAGGGCAGTGAATGTTTGTTTGGTCTTTTGTCATCTGGCCTTTGTGTCTCATATCTGTAAGGCCATGACCAGGTCTTCTGTCTGTCATACGTTCTTTAAATTTTACAGAGTTGATTAATCCTATTTGGCAAATGCTATTTGTCGAAAGGTTCTGCAAGCAGCTGTATAATGCCCTTGTTTTCCCTTTTTTATTTTCTTTCTCTTTGAGCTGGTTCTTTTGTGTTTGTATTGGTATGCCTTTTCCTCTGTTTGGATTTCTTTTGGATGTCCCTAGGTTGTTCAACAAGTTGTGACCCTGAATGGAAGATAGCGAAAACAGGATTTTTGTACTAACCGTAAAATCCTTTTCTTGGCGTCCATTGATTAACACAGATCTCTCCCTATGTTTGTTACAACTGAGCAGGTGGGAAGGGGGTCATAGCTTCAAGGTGGTTGACCTTCTGTTTTCTCTGTGCCATCTGTCCATTTTTCCTGTGGATGGCAGTATAACCCTAGGTGACATAGTTATCAAGCTGTGCTGCTCAATGGAATGAAAGGATATTTTTTTTTTTTTTTAGTACAAAAATCTCAAACACCCCCACCGCCAATTTAACAAACAAACAAACAAAAAAAAAAAATAGAGAATAAGAATGTGTTTTCTACAGAAATGAAAATGCTAAAAAAAATGCTAAGTGCTAAAAAAAAAAAAAAAAAAATATGGGACACAAGGGATTAAGGGAAATGAAGACCATGGGACTCAAGCGGTTAAAAAAAAATGCATCTGTCAACACAGTATAGGAATGGTAAGGGGCCATTTTGTTCTGTGCAGTGATGGTGTCTGCCCTTTATGGAAAATGTTGAGGCATGATGGACACACATAACAGATGGGGAAAGCCTGTGGCTGGTTTGACGGCTGTTCATCTTGAGGAGCCATGTCATGCAATGTGCCTGCACAGTTGCTGGGAAACCTTCTATGAAAGCCGCAAAACATAGTTTTGCAAGTGTGCATGCATGCACATTTTTAGCTTGCCATTTCAAAGTGTTTGCGTTAAAAAAAAAAAAAAAAAAAAACTTTAGTTCTGCTTTAGTAAAACATCTTGCAAAATCGCCTACTTTTATTAATTGCCCCTTATTTTTGCTTAAGGTGGAGAACTTCATTTTCTTCAAATTGGAGGAACTTGTGATGATCTTGATGAAACAGATATTCTTGTTGAAAATTCTCTTACAAAGGGTGTGGAACAGTTAGCAGAAGGTTTCAAGCCAATGTCAAACCCATCCAGTCCTGGCATCACAGGTAAGGAATACTTCATTTCCACTTATTTCTGGCCACCTATTGTAGTAAATCTTACAGAGTCTGCATTTGAACTTTTCTTACACTTTTCTTGTAAACTTTTTCTCAGTCTGAACTTGTGTAACTTGACCTATTCATTGGTCTTGCAGAGGTTTGAGACACATTTGTGTAGCTGGCTATACACGTTACAATCATCGAATAGGCCTTTACATGAATTTAAGTGGAATTTACAGCAAAACCAAATCTGATCTATATGGGACAATCTGCCAATAGCATTAAAACATCAGTTTTTGTTTTTCTGAGTCCCCTCTATAACATAGTATTTCTCTCTCATGGAGGGTCATTTGAAAATCCATTTGCATAGTGTGCAACTGTTGGCTGTTAAAAGACAAATTCTTGGGTTTGCTCCCAGTAGCAAAATACTAATAGCAGAGGATCTAAAGATGTAGTGACCCCAGATTTTGATAATGTATTGGGTTATACTTCTCCAAAATGTACATATTAGGGGCCATTTTCATAAACTGAGTGACAATTGTCCATCTTTACCACACTTTGGACAGGAGTTCTGAGTTTGAATCTGGTCACCATAGTTTGATATATAGGCTTTGTGGAAGATTTTGTGCTGTTTCTCTATGTGATTCATCAATAATGACCCTTCAGGGTGGTACGTTATCAAGTAACTTGTCAACTCTATTTGTAGTTGAGAATTCCCATTTCAATTTCTTTACGTTTAATTTTTCTAGTTGATATGTCTTAAAAATGAACTCCAGGAATTCAACTATTTTGTAAAATCTAGTGGATTACTATGGGTTAACTCCAACAAGATGCATGCCACATCATAGACTTGCGTTATCTTTCATTTACAGTTTTTTTCAACATTGGAAATACAGCTATTGCTATACTTCTGCTGCTGTTATGGTAGACCTTCTGGTCTCAGTTCCTGTAGCTGCAGAGTTGCATGCAGCTGCTGTGCCCTCTCCTCCTCCTGCCTGATTACAGAGCTCTTTGCATTATGTGTGTACCCATGCACAAAATACAAAGTTTTCTTTACATGAACAGCAGAAAGGAGGGGTGGGCAGAGATGCTGTGTATGAGAAGACAGATTTACTAAAGCTGGAGAGTGCAAAATCTAGTTCAGTTGTGGATTGTAGCCAATCGGCTTTTAATTTCAGTATGTTCAATTAAGCTTTTACAAAAAAAAAAAACCTTGAAGCTGATTGTTTTCTATGCAGAGCTGCACCAGATTTTGCACTCTCCAGTTTTAGTAAATCAGCCCCAGTGTCTCTCTTGTCCGAGTGCTGGGAGTATATTGATGGCTTCCAGCATTCAGGAAAACTTTCTTGTAAAAAAAAAAAAAAAAAAGAAGTCCAAGAGGTGGCATGCACCTTGTTGACTAAAATCATAGTAAACCAGCAGATTTTACTGAGTGGCTGGTTTCACAGAGTTAGCTTTTAAGTTTGTTCAACGAAGAGAACAGATATCAAAGTAAAAAGAAAAGTAGGAACCTCCCTTACCCCAGACCAATATTAAGTTCTTATTATTTTCGTTTATATAGCGCCATCAGTTTACACAGCACTTTACACATACATACATACATACATACATACATACATACATACATACATACATATATATTACATTCACATCAGTTCCTAACCCTCAAGGGGCGTACAATTTAATGTCCCTAATCTACATTCATACATACACATACTAGGGCCAATTTAGACAGGATCCAATTAACCTACCAGCATGTCTTTGGAATGTGGGAGGAAACCAGAGTACCCAGAGAAAACCCACGCGGGCACACAGAGAACATGCAAACTCCAGGCAGGTGGTGTTGTGGTTGGGATTTGAACTAACAACCCTATTGCTGCCAGGCGGCAGTGCTAACCATTTAGCCACTGTGCTGCAAATATTACACTCTACAAAGAACTTCAGATATTAAAATAATTAAAAAGAAGTTATACTGTTAGCCGTCGTCTAAAAGGGACCAAAGTGTGGTCAAGTCAATCCAGCAGACAATATCTATAAAATGGTAGCACTTTAATCACTAACCCAGATATGTCACCTTAGTTTCAACTTGTGTAACTACAGAAAAAGTGCATATCTTTAGGTAAACAAATTTGATCGAAAAGGTTGTTACTCAAAAGATCACAAAATCTAAGGAACGCATATCACCCATATAGACCTTTAACCTCCTGTAGAACAGTGACCCAAGGGATACGGGTGTTCACACTTGTACACATATTGATCAAGTGAATTCAGAATCCATCATAACAATAAAAAAATACATTTATTGGGCACATGGTTTCAGTTGTATAGCTTAAAAGGTCAGTCATTTGGAATATAAGATCAATTCTTGAGGTTTGTGCAGCAAGTATAAAGTATTCTATGTTGAATCAATCCATATGTTATATCCAAACATACCTCCAGGAAATGATTGCTTGATCAGCTTCAGGTCCTCTTCAAGTGGTGTGAGGATACACATGTCAGCAATGAATAGGCTTACAGTGGCAGGATTGTATTAGAGGGGAGGATCACACAGTAGAACTGTGACCCAGAGTTGTTCTGTAAAAATGCCATCTAATGGGGTTCCCCAACCCAGATTGTGAACCCTTTGCATGTTTTGTAAAGCTACTCTGGAATAAAAAAAATAGTTGCCTTAACGGACAAAGTCCATCCCATGTGTTATATAGCTACACCAAACTTCAGAGATAGTTGCTTCAACAGGGCTAATCCCTCTTGATCATAAAATAGTTCCATGTAATTGAACCCAATGAACTTACTGTAGAAGAGTTATAATGGAGTAACTGGTCATTTATCAAGACTAGAAAAGGTTCAAAACAAATGCCATATAATATAGTCCAACTTGCTTAGTTGCTTAGTGGCAAATGGATGGTCAAACAATCTTTAGGGGGCCGTCAACCAAATAAAGTATGTATGTAAAGTGTCCCACTCTAATCAGCTAATTAAGCCATAACACCTGCAAAGGGTTCCTGAGCCTTTAAATAGTCTCTCAGTCTGGTTCAATAGGAATCACAATCATGGGAAAGACTGCTGACCTAACAGTTGTGCAGAAAACCATCATTGACACCCTCCATAAGGAGGGAAAGCCTCAAGAGGTAATTGCAAAAGAAGCTGGATGTTCCCAAAGTACTGTATCAAAGCACATTAATAGAAAGTTATGTGGAAGGGAAGTTATGTGGAAGGGAAAATGCACATAGATATGTGCATGCTATGTGTTAGAAGCCTGAAGGTGGTACTTGTCTGTTGGGCCTCTGGATGTGGCCAGGCTGTGGAAAAGTCTTACACATGTGGTATCGCCATACTCAGGAGGAGTAATAGAATGTATTTTGGAGTGTAATTCTTGGTATGTACATGCTATGTGTTAGAAATATCTTATAAAATGGACAACTTTGTGTAAAAAAATAAAATACATTTTCATTATCTTTGCGCATTTTCCGAAAACTCATGGAAAAAAAAATTACATGCTCAAAAGACTCATTCTGCCTCATAGAATATACATTGGGGTGTTTGCTTGCCAAAATGGAGTCATTTTGTGGGTAATTCCATTTTCCTAGTGCTCCAGGGCCTTCAAAAATGTGATAGTCAGGAAATGAGATTTGTAATTTATGCCTCTAGAATGTCTAGGTGCTACTAGGATGCTGGGCCTTTGTATGTGGCCAGGCTGTAGAAAAGTCTTATACATGTGGTATCACCATGCTCAGGAGTAGCAGCAAAATGTATTTGGGGTTGTAATTTTTGGTATGTACATGCTATGTTTTAGAAATATCTTATAAATGGACAACTTTGTGTATTAAAAAAAAAAATAATAATTTTTCTTTCCACATTTTACGAAAACTTGTGGAAGAAAAATTACATGTTCAAAAGACTCATTATGCCTCGTAGAATATACATTTGCTTTCCAAAATGGGGTCGTTTTGTGGGTAATTCCATTGTTTTGGTGCTCCAGGGCCTTACAAAATGTGATAGGTAGTCAGGAAATGAGATGTGTAATTTATGCCTCCAGAATGCCTGTGGGTGCTACTTGGATGTTGGGCCTCTGGATGTGGCCAAGCTGTGGAAAAGTCTTACACATGTGGTACCCCAACCTCAGGAGGAGCAGCATAATGTGTTTTGGGGTGAAGCTGCAAGTGTGCATATGCCATGCGAGAGGAATAACCTGTTAATACAATGTCTGTGTGAAAAAAAACTAATTTTATTTACTTCATTTTCTGAAGAATTGTGGGGAAAAAATTACAGGTTCAAAAACTCACCATGCGTCCTGCTATAGCTTGTAGACTCTCTATAACTTTCACACAGACCAAATAATACACACCGATTGGGATTATTTTTACCAAAGCAATGTAGCAGTATACATTTTGGCCCAAATTTATGAAGAAAAATTACTTTTTGCAAAATTTTAAACCGAAATGAAGAAAAATGCGTTTTTTTTTTGTGTTTTTTTAAGTTTTCAGTCCTTTTCAATTTATAGTTCAAAAAATAAAAAACCAGTGCTAATTAAATACCACCAAAACAAAGCTCTATTTTTGTGAAAAAAAGGGACATAAATTTCATTTGGGTACAGTGTTGCATGTCTGAGTAATTATTCAAAGGTGTGAGAGTGCTGAAAGCTGAAAATTGTTCTGGGCAAGAATGGGGTTAAAGTGCCCTGTATTGAGGTGGTTAATAATAGGGGAAATATATTTCTCTTGGGTCACCTTGTTTGGTAAAAAGAATACATATAATTTTTTCTGTGATTGCCAAATAAGCAGATATAATCTCTTCTTTTTTTTTTTTTTTCCCCCCCCCTCTCTGACCACCATTTAGGTGTAGATCTCCTAGTGGAACAGCCGTTCTCGTTGGAAATGTTGACATGTTTAGTGGAACTAACTCGCTTTGAGACCTTAATTCCAAGGTTTTCTGCAACAGTACCACCATGTTGGGTTGAAGTCCAGCAGGAGCAACAACAAAGACGCCATCCACAGCACTTACACCAGCAGCACCATGGCGATGCTGCTCAGCACACCCGTACTTGGAAACTGCAGCATGACAGGTATTGCTTTCTCTTATTGCTATTAGGGCTAAATATTACGTTGAATATCGGAAAAAACGAAAACTTTAATGATTTTGGGTAATTTTACAATAGATAATATATATGTATTTTAGTAGAATATCAATTTTAAGTCACTGTAAAGTTTAACCCAGTTTTTCGTTGGCCTTTTTTTTATAGTTTGCTCATTAGTTGTGCCAGATCCTTATGGATATCATTATTGGTTTTCTGCCAATAAAGGGAGCACTTGGGAATAGATGTGCACCCTCCTGCTGTGTTCCTATAAGTTCAGATAGTCAGTTTACCTATCTACACACTAGATTTCTTGTGGCCAGTCCTCACCACATATACGCTCTGGATGCGTTCTGAATGCGTTTTTGCATACAGTTCATGCCACTCTCTGTTCTGGTGCGTTTTTTAATGCATTTTGCTGTGTTGCAGTACAGTTCTGTGCATAACAAATGCAGCATGTTCTGTTTTTTTTTTTTTTTTTTTTTTTTTCTTGCATCGGAAACTGACTGGAACTGACTGTGCTGGTGTGAACTAGGGCCACTGGAATACATAAACACTGCATGCATTTTTGATCTAGAAAAAAAAACCGCACTGGACTGCATCTTTTGTGAGCCAGCCCTCAGTACACATATTTCTTCCTGCCATCTGTGTCCTGCTCTGTTCCTTAACTTTCGTTCGTTAGCTTAAAGCATACTTTCCATGCAAATAGAAGATCACTTTTTTGCCATCCTTCCACTGGCCAAAAAAAATTCCCTGAAATTTTTTTTAAAAAGCTTATCCCAGTCCCTGTTTCCAGTGCTTCTGGAAGGTGCAGGTGATGTTACTGCTCCATCTGGAGCATTCACAATCCTGCAAGAATGTACTCCTGCAATAGGGATAGCGAATTCTCACTTTTTGTGCCCGCTTGTTCCCGTGGTGTTGCATGATAACAGCTGTGCTTTTCTGAAGCTCTAGAAGCTGTCACCAAGGTAAATATAGCTGTTTTTTCTGGGGTGGGGGGGAATTCTTAATCATACAGGACAGAGACCCAAGGTTTATGCTAATGTCTGTAGCTGGTGGTCCTCTTCTTCCTAGAGAAATCAGGTTTACTAGTATATTTTTCTTTCACCCTCTCTGCCTCCTAATGCCTACTCAGATGCAGTGTATATCCTGATCACTGCAACCTTGACAAAACCTTGGGAGTTGTATCAGGATCCCACAATGTGGGGCGGGCCCATATGTTGCTTTGGGCACTGAATCCCACGTGGTCTGTTGCTGTGGAACCCAGCCCCTGAAGACCCCCTTGGGGGTATGCCCTCTATGATGGGCAAAGCCTGGACTTTTTATACAATCCGGTGTCGTGAATAGGTAACACAGGGACACCATGTATCTCTGGCTGTTAACTGTGTAAAACAGAGCTACAGTGGAGGAAATAATTATTTGATCTCCTGCAGATTTTGTAAGTTTGCCCACTTACAAAGAAATGAAGGGTCTATAATTTTTATCATAGGTGTATTTTAAATGGTTGAGACAGAATGTCAACCATAAATCCAGCAAAATACATGATACAAATGTTGTAAATTGAGTTGCAGTTCAGTTAGTAAAATAAGTATTTGATCCCCTACCTATCCATCAATAATTCTGTGTCCCACAGACTGGCTATGTGGTCATGTGGTACACCGATTAGTCCTGTCAATTTTAGAAGGTGCTCCTAACAACAACTTGTTATGTGTATAAAAGACACCTGTCCACAAATCTTTCTTCCATTCAAACCTCACCATCATTGGGCAAGATCAAAAAGCTCTCAAAGGATGTCATGGACAAGATTGTAGATCTGCACAAGGCTGGAATTGGCTACAAGACCCTTCAGCAAGAAGCTTGGTGAGAAGGAAACCTTAGGAGTGATTATTCACAAATGGAAGAAATACAAAATAACCTTCAATCGCCCTTGATCTGGAGCTCCATGTAAGATTTCACTTCATGAGATAAGGATGATCATGAGAAAAGTGAGGGATCAGCTCTGAACTACACAGGAGAAGTTTGTGAATTATCTCAAGGCAGTTGGGACCACAGTCTCCAAACAAACCATTGGTAACGCAATATGCTGCTATGGATTGAAATCATGCAGCACCCACAAGGCCCTCCCTTCAAGAAGGCACATGTACAGACTCGTCTGAAGTATGCCAATGAACAGAAATGGTGACTATGACCCTAACAACACCATCCCTACAGTCAAGCACAGAGGTGGAAACATTATGCTTTGGGGCTGTTTCTCTGCTAAAGGTATGGGCTTACTTTGCCACATTGTGGAGCCAAAGGACGGGGCCATGTATTGTAAAATCTTGGATGAGCCCCTTCTTCCCTCAGCCAGAACATTGAAGATGGATCTTCCAGTATGACAATGACCTAAAACATACTGCCAAGGCAACAAAGGAGTGGCTCAGGAAGAAGCACATTAAGATCATGGAGTGGCCTAGCCAGTCTCCAGACCTTAATCCTATAGAAAATTTATGGAGGGAGCTGAAACTTCGAGTTGCCAAGCAACAGCCAAGAAACCTTAACAATTTAGAGAAGATCTGTAAAGAGAGTGGACCAAAATCCCTCCTGAGATGTGTGCAGACCTGGTAACCAACTACAAGAAATGTCTTACCTCTGTGCTTGCCAACAAGGGTTTCAACACCAAGTACCAAGTCATGTTTTGCTTGGAGATCAAATACTTTTACTCACTGAACTGCCATTCCATTTATAACATTTGTATGGTGGTTTTTCTGGATTTTTGGTTGATTTCTGTATTATCTAAAAAACACCTCTGAAAAAAATTATAATTTCTTTGTGGGCTAACTTACAAAATTTGCAGGGGATTCCCCACTGTATGTTTTGGAATGTATTCACTCTACAGTGTAAACGTTTCGACCCTTGTGCTAAAATTCAACCACTTAGAGCTCAGCTGAATGATCTGGTGTTTAAGAAAAAGAAAAACTTAAAGCCAGTGCTACAACAAAAGAAGTGTATATAAGCTGCTTGCAATTGAAGGTGAATATACAAACCTTAAACCAAAATAGCTGATTACAGCTCTGAAAGTAAACCTTTACAAATAACATATACCACAGTAAAAAAAAAAAAAATCATATCACAGTCCAACTACTAGTGTTAGAGTTCTAAAAAAAATATATATATATTTCAATAATTTCCCAGTCACTTTAAGATTATTCCATGAAAAGAGAACATTTCCATAGGTGATTTCAGATCTATTTCTCAATATTTCTATTTTCTCACTGGTAGAACAGCCAGTTTAAATGGACTGCCCTACAGGCGATGTGCACATGCATAGATGCAAACTAAGGTTTTGCCAGTTCAAAAAAATTTTTTTTGGCTAACCATGAATATATTGCTGTGTGTCTGGGAGAGGTCCAGGTGGGTTAGCACAGACAATAGTTGAGACATTCTAACCTATACATTCTTATGTCTTTGACCAAAGTTTAAAGTTTTTTTTTTTTTTTTTTAGCAAGCAGTACAAAACTTTGATAAGTGTTACAATTCAAAAGGAAGGGATGAGTTTATAGCAGATACTTCTGAAAGATTGCTGTGATGCTATGCACCTCCTTCAGGGCTTTAGGGCCCATGGCCATAAAGAGTAAATTATGCTGCTTGTTGTGGCACCCAGTGGCTGCTTTGTATTTTTGCACAATGAGATCCATTACACAAAATGCTAACGCTACTAAACACGGGTGACAAATGGCACTCACATTTATACGTGGACACACGAGTATATTTTCAAATTTGCAAAAAAATCAATGTGTAGTGAGCTCAAAGATGTAAATGAGCAGCTAGCACAAAGTGGCAAACACACTTCTACTACACTATGAGAGTTTTCCTCTCTTTTGACCTCGGTCAAGAGAGAGCAAAGCTCCTATTTGAAGACAGGAGGTGCCATACCTGGATCGGTCACTGACTGGTGCATGGGAGGTTCATTTGTAAGAATGCACATATAAGAGCCCATACTGCAGTGGAGGTCATTGGTCCTTTCTCTATTTCCTGCAATGGATGGATACATCCTTGGGTGGGATTTCTATATAGAGTCTGTTTACTTTTTTGCTTCTGGTGAGTACATAGTGGTGGAGGTTTGTCACAGAAGTCCCTTTACATCGTTGATCACTATTGATTCATACAGTATTGTTGGACACTTTATATCGCTGGTTACTTTTGTTGGACACCGCAATATTGGACTCTATGATAGTGAATAATATTCATACATATTTTCAAGTTTGTACTGTGTGCTGTATGCATAATGTACAGATGTATGCAAAAGCCCTTATAAAAATGTGTTTATAAATACGGGTTGTTTGTTGATTTTTATTTATTGTCACCAGTAATAGTTGGGATGAACATGTCTTTGAACTGGTTTTACCGAAAGCCTGCATGGTGGGACACGTGGACTTTAAGTTTTTATTGAACTCTAATATCACAAACATTCCACAAATCCAAGTAACATTACTTAAAAACAAAGCTCCAGGATTAGCCAAAGTTAACGGTAAGATTGCACTTTCATTAATATATATATATATATGTAATTGTTTTGAGATACTCTGCAAAAGCAGCAAAATATTTCACTATGAAAACTGTTTTTGCCTCCCCTCCTCCCTTTTTTTCATTAACTTTTTATTTTTTTAATTGTATGTTTATGAACATTAATGTACTTGTGTGAAATTCTTAATCATATTAACGGATATTTTTTTTTTCTCCATTTCAAATGTTGATAACATCTTTATGGTATGCTGCTCAATCTCCCTATGTTTTCCTTTCTCTGGGGATGTTCCACAGCACTGGCCGCATTTAGTTTTAAGGGTGGCGCCTTTAACATGGAGGATTCTATGCAGCCTCCTGTGCATGTGCGCACTCCTAGTTTGCACCTATAGATGCTGCAAGCCCTACATCTTTGTATCTATAAGCATTGGAAAGAACATTTAAAGTGGTTCTAAAGGCTAGACATGTTTTAGCTTAATGCTTTCTCTGCATTGAGGTTAAAAATGTCCCACTAGTTGTATCACCCCTCACCTCCCTTTTATATTTACCTGGGTCCTGTCTTGATTCAGCACTGTGCTGGTCTCTCTCTTTCTCTCCCCTCTCCCCTCCCCCCCCCCCCCCCCCCCCCCCCCCCCCCCCCCCCCTCTCCCCTAGCCTCAACATCCATGGTATGCCAGCGTGGTGTGGCTTGTCACGGACACTCCCTGGCAATTGTCTCTTTGGGAGGATTTCCTGTTCCAGGTCCCCACTGTCAGTGTCCACAGCCATCGAAGCCGGGAAAAAAATGTAATGTAGTGCGATCTGCACTACATTACATTTAGTGGAGCATAGTGTAGACAAATCCAGGGTCTTTTAGACCTGGACATCTCATTAAAGAGAACCTGCCTCCAAAAAAGTCATCAGATAGGGGACAAAAAGTCCCCTATGTGATGAGGAAAAAAAAAATTAAATTGTAAAAATTTCATTGTGGCCTGCAACCAGTTACAAAATCATTTTAAGTGGCCCTCGCTTTTCAAAAGGTGGAGCCCGCTGAATCGCTTCCCCCCAAATTCTTCCAAATCTTTCTGCCTCATCGCCCATCTAACATCGGTTTTCATCAGTACATTCAGGCAGTTGTATAATTATTGAGCAGACTTTGCAAGCAATGCCATGCCATCCTCCTACCTCAAAGCAGAAAATATAGTGTCAGGTCAAGGAATTCTGGTCTCTGTTTCCTTCCTGGTGGTAACTAGACCATGCTAATGTTTTAATCGGAACAAATGCTTGCAATGACTTTTATTTTATGATCGTACATGTATACAAACATCTATATGTTTTAACTTCTTATCCCTTTTCTTTTTCCTTTAGAAACCCCTGTAGATAGGCCCATTTCCTTTCCATTGTCTCCTGCCTTCAGTGTGGAAGTTCAGAGAAATGGAAAACCTACCCTGGTAGATTTAAGTGAGGACATGCCAAGCATGGAAGTAGAGGACTCTATGAAGTAAGTGCCATTAATATGATAAATATTCCAGTGCCATTATATGATAACTATAACGTTATTTCTGTATTATAAAGACTACTGCTTTTTTTCTTTTTGTTATTTTTACCAGTTGTTGCAGATATTTAAAAACTCTTGCTGCACAGGGCTAGTTTTCAAAATTTTTATAAATAAACAGCGCACATATATGTGAAATTCACTTTTTTTTTTTTTTACACTATAACGTTACTGAGAACCCCCATTCCCAGCCCTGTATAAGTGATTGGGTTGCTGTAGAGTTGCTCAAATCACTTTCACTTTGAAGCTGGTTGCTCACAATGTAGTATTTTACTTTTTATTACATTAAAACTTAACACTGAATATCTATTAAACCTATGTTCCCTGTTGCTTATTGGAAAAGGGGTTTAGTTCAGGCATAAAAACATTTCTGTGTATGATTTGGCTCTACACAGACTGGATTTCACAATACGTGGTACAATTGCATGTGGCAGAACTTAATAGTTCTTGCTGTATGTAAATGCACCCAAATTGACCGTGAAGGGGTTGGCGGCTACTGCTTTGTAAGGCCAGAGAGAACCAGAAGGAAAAATTTAAGCTGGAACTCCTTTGGACTTTAAATGCATGAAGCGCTGTCAGCCACATATGGTTTTAGAACCAGTGAGCCTGTCTAGTCTCTTGTCTAATGGCCTTATTTAAATTTTATGCTGCTTTTAATGTTGTCCATAATAGTTTTTTTTTCTCCCTGTAATATAGTCTTTTGTTTGGTAGGCCCAAGATTGTGTCCATTTTTAGAAGAGCACAAAGAAGATATCTTGTGTGGTCCTGTTTGGCTAGCAAGTGGCCTTGATCTTTCAGGTCATGCGGGTGGTCATGCTGACATTAACAAGTCCTAAACTTGTGAAAGGTAAGTTAGATTTTCTCCTTGCTCGCTAAACAGGATTTAAAATTTACAGTCACTCAGCTGTTGGTAAAACTTTCATATTTATGCACAATGGAGGCCTTAAGCTTCAATTGCCCACTAAAAATACTTTATTCTGTGTGTTCATTGTAAATGTAGGTGGAATTGTGATTTGAGGCCTTCCTTTTGGGATATATAGTATTTTTAGGTCTGGGTTGGTGTTTATCATGCAGCGTGAAAGTAGCAACACACACACAGGTGTGCTCTCAGTCCTGACAGCTTGGCGATTAGAGAGCATAGACTAATTTCTAAGATCGTGGAGTTCAGTTTTAGCTTAGCACTGCAAGAATTTCTTTACCTGAGTCTTAATATTTGGTTTGTTGCGTGCTTGGCTTATATTTGAATATGTATATTAATTTCATAAAAATTTTTTAGAATACCATACTAGAAAATCATTAAATTGTTACTAAACGCAGGACCCTACTTTCACTGTATCTGGTCTCCAACAGTACGCAGAAAATGCAATTATTTTAGTAAATATAAACAGCTAAATACCTTTTCTCATCAGCAGTTAGAGCAGTCTTGTGACTTCTATCAGTGTTGAGCGGAGCACTGCTTAAAGCTTGTAGGAGGAGTTTTCTCTAGGAGGATGCAGAACCGCTGACCTCTGTCTGGGCAGTGCTGAGTGGCCCTGTGCTAATCACATGCACTCTCCCAAGAAAAAAAATAAACCTATCAATACACACCAAACTGAGCATGTGCAGAGTGACTCCACACAATATATTTTATCAGGAGATAAAAGGGGAACACTGTAAGAAGGGGAGTATCAGAGAAGTCAGGATAAAACAGCATTTTTTACACAATGCAGAGGATTAACCCCTTAGGTCTCACAGTGAGTATAACAAGCATGCTTTACTGCATATACAGGCTGATTTTACTGTTGTGCGTTTGGTAACACTTTAAATTTGCATGCAGCATTTATTTTAAGTTTATATGTGTCGATTTTATTAAAAGATAAGTGCATTTATTAATATAAAAAGTTGAAATGACCCTGCATTTCCCATTTCAGGCAGATTTCCTCTTCAGAAGTATTGAGTGTGGTGTTGCCGAGAAATACTAGGCTAACCTTGACAGATTGGCCAGTGCAATTAGAGCTTTCTAGAGTATGCAGGCACTTCAAGGTTCAAGAAGAATTTATTACACAGGCCAACACACATTTTGGTGCATTGAATGTTAGACCTGTTCCTGAGTGTATTTGACTCACCAGTTTTAAAAATGGCACCAATTTTCCTTATCAGCTCTAGTTTTTGCGATACAGCTCAAATGCCATATACCACGCCTTACTCTGGTCGTCCATCAACAATCAGGAATTTTGAATGTAGTGTTTAATTTAATATAAAGCGCTGAGCAAACTCTTGGCGCTATATAAATCCTATATAATAATAATAATATCTGTGTAGTATGAAATGCATAAAAAAGTAACCATAACCTCTATGGTGTTCAGTCTGAAAAAAACTGAAACTGTATGAGTGGCAATATACACACCTCCTATACAATCATAACTACAATACAGTTAACCTATACTGTACTTTTTCTAGTGTAAAATTAAAGTTGGACGCATGTAAACACTCTCCCTATATCTGCTAACTTGTATGCAAAAACATAAACTAGGTAACAGAAAAGTTGATCAGCAAGATCATTTCAAAAACTGCCTAAAAACATTATGTAAAGAAATTAGAGCTGATGCCATCTACTCAAAGCATTTTTCTGAATCGGCACCCCAAATAACCCTCCAGAACAGGTCTAAAAAGCAAAGCACCCAAAATTTTATTTTTTTTGTTGGGCTGTGTTCTATAAATAAAAATCATAATCTGAAATACAGATGTAAAGAGATCATTAAAAAAAAATCCTATTCCATCACAAAAAAAAAACACATTGCATATTATTATACAGGATTTATATAGCGCCAACAGTTTGCTCAGCGCATTAATTCATGTATATATTGCATGAAAAACAATTTCCACATAACATTTGCACAACAAATACCCCTCTATCTAATTTAGCTAACCCCCATTCCTGGAGATCAAAAGATGTATAGACTAGGGAAAGAAGCTATTTTTCAGCCTTATAGCGCAGGAGGCAATGCCCCTAAACTTCTTACCAGATGGCAGCAATCTAAACTGAATATTACCTCGTTGAAAACTATCCTTAACACTGCAGGATTTCCTGAAGACATTTAGTTTCCCCTATTTCGTTAGTACTTGGCAGAACCACCCACATAATTTCCTTTGCTGTTTTTATCACCCTCTGTAAGGCCTTTGTATATTGGACTGTGTAAGGTCCCTACAGCAGAGAGATGTGATAAGACAATACACTCTCAATGGCAGTCTCAGGACACTGAGGAGGAAATACAATCTAGTCCTGCCCACCAGGTAGGATATGTGCTCTGTCCATGACAAATCCTCCTTAAGTGTTGGAACAGAAGCCCATGTACCCTCTTTAGCTCCATTACACCAATCACAACCAGCTCATACAGTGACTAGTACCCCCTACTTCTCCCAAAATCTATTTTTTCCTTAGTCTTCACCATGCAGCTTCTTTGCTATCCCTCATTCTCCCCACAGCCATTGTTTTTAGCACTGAGTCTACCTCAAAATGGATATGGATCACTTTATATGTGATATAGATAGATAGATAGATATTTATTTTTTTTTTAAATTTATTTCAGGTACTTATATAGCACCGTCAATTTACGCAGCGCTTTACACATATATTGTACATTCACATCAGTCCCTGACCCTCAAGGGGTGTACAATCTAAGGCGTGTGTGTGTGTGTATGTATGTATGTATGTATATATATAGATAGATAGATATAGTATATGAGATGAGCAGGAAAAGGCTAGAAACATGTTTGTGTGAAGGACTACCTGATCACATGACCACTGTTTTTTGGCTGTCACGGTGATCACAAAATTGGTAGCTGGTCCTGTCAGCTCAGGGACTGTCTGTTAGCTTGGTCAATGTGTTGAGAGCACACTGAGCACAGAACCTCTGGACGCATATTCATGGCTTGTGGGTGTTAAAGTTCACCCACTTTGCCACCACATATGTGTTACATGGGTGGTTGGAGATTAAAGTAATCCTTATTTGGCTACAGGTTTGCATTTCCTAATGGGGGAGGGTTAGTTCCTTTTGTAAGGCTGTTAGTGACATCAATGCCCACATTTCAGAGTTATCTCCTTAGTTCAATGTAAAGGGTGTCAGTACAGAAAGTGAAAAGAAATCTCCCAACGAGTAGACAAGCTTGTAGACAGCCATTTTTGTAGAAGACACTGGAAGGCCTTTTTTTTTCCTTTTAGGGTTCATTAAAGAATTACTACACTTCATCTGAGCACCACAATGCAAAAATGCTATTTACTTTTTAGTATTCAATGCAAACTCTCTCATCCATCCATGTCTCCATGTTTTATTTTGCTGAGAAATCACTTTGAAAAACACCCCGTAGCATTTCTGGTCATGACCATCTTGAGTAAGGGCAGATGATTGACGTAGCATTGACTTCCTGGAGTTCATCTGCCCTTAGTTCAGGCATACAAGCAGAAGGGCGTGCTTAGCTGAGAAAACCTCCCCTCCAGGAGACTGCTGGGATGTATGACATAATTTGCCTAGGCAAGAAACCAAGAAATAAATGAAGAAACTTCTGGCTGTGAAAATAATGTAAATGTTTTTGTCTTAGGAATGGCTGGTGGCAAATACCGTTCTTTTTTAATTCATGTGAAGGCTGTAAATGATAGAGGAGTAGAGGAGCTGTGTAACGGAGCCCGGCCAGTTGTGCGGATACCTTCATTAAAACCACAAAGTGTGAAAGGACATTCTCTTGCCTCGTTATTGGCTAAGGTTGTTCCAGGCAAGGTATGGGTGTATTTTGTGTGCAGCACTTTTTGTGTTTCCTTCTTTTTTTTTTTTTTTGTGTTTTTTAGTTCCGTACAATTGACTTTTTTCTTTTCTCCATTTTTGAAGGATAAGTCTGCAGCAAAAATTGATGCTGGCACATCTTCTCGTAAAGTTGATAACCTCAGAGGATGTGACCTGCTCCAGGAAGTTTCTGTCACCATAAGACGCTTCAAAAAGACATGTATCCCAAAAGAAAGGTAGGTTAGTTTTGCTGTGGACTAATTTTTCTGACCCATATTGAAATGGGAAGTTCTCAAGACCTCCCCCCTAACTATTGCCTTAAAAAAAGTAAATTTTTTTTTAGAAATTCTCTTAATTCTTACATATTCCCTAAACAATAGGTAAAGCGACAGTTGCATGTTCTCTTTATGGATTAATCAGCCCTAATGCCACATCTACCTACAGCTTATTTGCATGTTTACTTTCTGGTGTACAGAAATTCCAAAGCTGGGATTCTTCCGAGCTATCCATTTTGGAATCCCTGTGGCTATATGGCCTTAAAGAGGAGCTAGGTGAATCTGGAGACCACAGTTAAAAGTGGTCTGGTGGCTTTATTGAAGAAAGTAACGGTTTGTTTTTTATAGCAAGCTCATAGCTGTCAATTTATTTCTTTGTTATAACATCAGAGGATTAGGCCCATGCACACAGGTGTATAATGCCCATGCCTTCAGATCTGTAGTTTATAAGGCAGCAGTATTGTATCTTAGGGCCCCATGCACACTGATCTGTATTGGTGTGCAGTGTAAAGCTGCATAAAACAAAACTGGAAAAAATCTTCAATTGAGGACAAATGTATAGTGTATTTTACACTGTACATGTGCAGGCTGCAAAAAGGCACTCTTATTGGCTACTATTGCTGCTCATGGCCCACATGTAAATATCAGCATTATGTAGTCAGCTTTGCTTGTGGTGATTACACAATATTAATGTTTACTAGTCATCCCCAAATGGCTACCTGTGTTCTACCAGTTAAGGATGCTAGGCAGCAGGAGCTTTCTGTATCCTAGCAATCACGGATGCTAGATGGCAGGAACTGTTCTGCATCCTAGTAACCAAGGACACTAGAAAGCAGGGGCCTATCAATGTATAATTAGTGATTTAAGAGTAGCAAATTGCACAATCGTAATATTTACATGTTGGCCCCTAGCAGTGGGCCATGAGGCATGCAATTGTTGGCACAAATGTTACATGCTTACAGTGTACGGACAAGATTTTATGTAGAATTTTCCTTCCAGCAAAGTTCTGCATAAAATGATATGGACTATGTGCATGGGACCTTGAAAGAATTTAGGTAAAGTATATTTTTAATAAATGCAGCTGTGTTATTGGCCACATGGGGAGTGCATAATGAGTCTTCTGTCTGCTTTGTTATAAGGGGTAGTCAATTACAGTCGTTATTTAGCTTTGCAAAGCAGAATGCACAACCTGCTCGGGTAGCAGGCAAATATTGCTTTTTTTTTTTTTTTTTTTATAGTTCACAAAAGGACATAGGATCAGCATTAACTCTGAGACAAGTAGATTATACTGCTGCCTGTAGGTGATCGGATACTAGGAAACAGAGCTTATTAGTTGGCCAGATTTAACCACTCCCATAATACTGCAGTTTTATGCTTTGTGTCTTAGGAAAATGGAAGTCTTCTCTCTGCTGAGAGAAGCAAACTCTTTCCAATACATTTAGTTTTTTATTATGTTTTTTCTACCTTCAGTCAAGCTTCTTTGCTTAACTGCAAAGCCAGGATGGTTAATTTATGCAGTTCCTGTCAATATGAATGAGGTAGGGTCGGCTGGTTATGTGACCTTGGGGCACTGGGCTCTGATTGGGGCCCTCTCCAAACACCTGGTGTACTGTGCGAGTAGCTGCAGAGTGAACACCTGGTGATGGAACCTCATCCTTGCAATCTCCCTAGTGAGTGTGCCCACCAGAGGGTGTGAAGACTGTCTGAATGGGGGCTTGTTTCCTGGGTCCATGTGTCACAGACCCTTAGTGGAAATTGCTACCTGTGCCATGTTTGGATTGTATCTCCTGGCTGCCTTACTGACCCTACACTGCTCCTTATTGTGTTTTTGTCACTGCACATGTGCTGCCTCCTATGTTGCTTGTGTGTGCACCTTCATGGCCTTTCTGAACTTTTACATGAAGCCTGCACCACTGTGTTCATCCTGCAAGAGATCAGCCATGATCTCCCTGCTACTGAAATACAGCAACAAAGTTACAGATGGCCATATAACCTCCTTTGCTTCTGTAGGTGGTTTCCAAGTACTCCATTGTGCAAGTCTGCGTATTTGCATACTTTTGCAATATGTTGAATCATAGGCGCAGATGTAGTAGTCCTGCGGGCCCTTCTGGCTCACAATTCACTTAACAGCTCCAACCTACACAGTTGTCCCCTTCTGTTTCCCACATGCTGCATTGGGTTTCCAAGAGCATAACCCTTCCTCAATGTTGTTTAGGAAGGCTTTCATTGCTACCACATCAGATTTCATTGCTAAAATCACTTCCATGATAGATAACGAACAGATGAATTCCAGGTCCTTACTTGGTTACATTAGTGCAGCTTTGATCAACATAAATATGCATATTCCATACCTGGCTGTAGAACCTAGAAGCTGGAAATCACTGACATAGACCCCGCTAACCCTGTTTTCTCCACTTGCTTCCATGTCACTACTTGACCTCTCTGCAGCTTTTGACACGGTTGACCACCCCCTCCTCCTCAAAAAACTGCACTCTCTTGGCCTCAGAGACTCCGAGAACTCTAGACATGTTCTTTGATCACACACCCAAGGTCCGGCAGATGGACATAGCAGTAAGGGCAGGACATAGGAAGAATAAGGCTTTGGAAAGTGTAAGCCCTTTCCAAGGTCTTATTCTTCCTACTATATCCTGCCCTTACTGCCGTGTCCATCTGCCGAACCTTGGGTGTGTGGTCAAAGAACATGTCTAGAGCCCTCGAATCAATCCTAAGTGAGCCCTCCTGTTCTCCAGCAATTTGAATTTAGGCTTATTGCCCTGCACTACTGTATTTATGGGCTTTCAGATGTCCCCAGACATCTGAAAGCCCATCAGCTGAATAGCTGAATTCTGTGTGAGCTGGAGCACAGATGAGTAGTAACTGCCAATTTTGCAAAACGGTCACAGAGGGAATAAATAGGAAACTGCAAAACTGCACTTTTTGGCTTTCTTTTAAGACTTCTAGGACTTTTATTATCTGGCCTGATTGTACTATTAGCTGCTAATGATTGGAAAAACTTCCAGAAATTCAGGGCTGTCACAGGGAGAACACCAGTATGCTAAATGAACTGGGAAAACCTGCACTTGTTGGCTGATTGGAGAGACTTCTGCTCTCCTGAGGACACAAGGAAAAAAATGAGGCTTGCTGGTTGTGGGCAGGACTATCCTTTTCTGGATAACAATTTTTGTTGCATGTTCATTTTTTTTTATGCTGCTTACCATTCACTGTTTTACTTAGTAGGAAGTCAAGGCCCATCATAGGGGATCAGAACTGGAAGCCAGAAATATCACTTGCTGTTATCATGCTGTGTGTGGCTAGTCTGAGTGCAGCTTATTTGATTGAACAAATTGTAGCGTTTGTGGCCAGCTTTGCAGTTGGCCTTTATCAAATAAAAATGGTTGTTTTGATACAGACCCAACTACTGAATCTTGCAAACTCATCCAAATTTAAATATTGTATATTGGGTCATGTTTACTTGTTTCTCTGCAGGTAATAGATTGTACAGTGAGGTGAGTTTACTGCTGATAACATTCTCACCCACCTGATGTGATTGAGCCCTCCAAAACCGATAATTCAGGTGGTTATGTGGAGCAGAAGTGGCATAGCAAGCCCCTACTTTCTTTGACAGCAGTCTTTCTCCTGCAATCTGCTGGTTTGCAATGGTTATTTTTTGTGTAAATAATTTTAGTTATGATTGTTTACTGAATTGCGTCAGTCTATCCGCTCTGTTTATGGAACATAAACCTATATTGTCAGCAGTACCATCTACAGAAAACATGGGCTTATAATGATTATAAGGATATTCCTAATGACTTTCAGTCATCAACCAAGTGGTTCCTCATCCTTTCACAAGTTATAGATTACCTAGGTGTTCCCCGCCAGTACTGTGACACAGTACTTACAGCATACATTGCTGGTCCTTGCTCCTATTTTTCATAAGATGTTTATTTGAAATAACTTCCTGTGTTGTATGTATTAATGCCTGTGAACCTTGTTCATTAATTTTCTTTCTTTTTGGTTTTGGCTGGCTGGCTCATAATTTTTAAAAACATTTTTTTTAATTGTATATATTTAGAGTGCAACGATGTGCCATGCTGCAGTTCTCAGATTTTCATGAAAAGCTTTTGAACACACTTTGTAAAAAGACAGAAGATGGACTGGCTATTGAACATGCACAGAGCTTAGTTTTGGATATCCTTTGCTGGTTAGCTGGTGTACATTCAAATGGTCCGGGCAGGTAAATAATTCATATTTTTAGTACATTCAAATAGAAGATCTGAATATCCAACAAGTTTAGCAATGTTTCATAAAAATATCTACTCCGATAATCTAGAAAAAAGATACAGATTGTCTTGTGCAGGTAGCTGTCAGGAGTTTTTATTTTTTTAGCTGGATTAAGAATTAAAAAAAAAAAAAAAATTTAGAAGGTTATTGATTTTTTGTTTCATTTTCAAGCTGTCAACATACATTTTGTTGTTGATTGTACATTATTTTGCAGCACTTCCCAAAGACATTTTTTCCATACCTTTAAACTTTGTGTCAGTGGTTGTTTAGTCCGTCAGCAAGCCTGGTCATTGCAAAGTGGGATACATAGACATGCCTTTACTTAGGCTAGCCTTTCTCAACCAAGGTTCCACCTGAAGTCCTCTGAGGTGCCACGGCATCCTGGTTGAAAAAAGCTGTCCGATTCGACTGAACTCTGACTCCACCGAACATCAGCACAGCAGGAGCTTGGTCAGCATAGTGCAGTGAAGAGCAGTGGCAGGGGAAGGTGGCTTTCTGAGTCCTGAGCTCTGCGCCTCTCCCTACCAGACAGTACCCGGCCAGCACCACCCACAGCCATGTGGATTGCAGTGGAAGAGCGGTCCTGCCCTGAGGTTCTGGTGAGAGGAAAGCAGGGCGCAGAGGGGATCAGAAGGGAGGGTGAGGATTTTGCTTGCAGAGCTTGGCAGAAAGGGTGATTGCATAGGTATGCCAACAGGGGGTTTTGGGGTACAGATGTGAGCAGAGGGGGGTTTGGGGTACAGACATGAGGGGTTTGGGCTACAGAGGTGAGTAGAGAGGGGTGTTTGGGGTACAGAGGTGAGCAGATTGGTGTTTGCAGTCTAGAGGTGAGCAGAGAGGGGAACATGCAATGTAATTTTGAAGCCTTTTCATTTGAATGGACAGCAAATCACACTGGAACGCAGAAGTAATGTATTCCCCATGCAATTCGGTGCCTGCAAACACACTACATATGAGATCTGTATTTGGGGTACCATTACCAATGCATTATCACCCACTTGCAGATCGCAAGGGCAGCACAATCACTTGCAGTGCAGGAAATGCACACGGAGCGCACCTTTTCCACCCCACATTCTAGCGTGAACTGACCGTAGTCTCTGACTTTTTTTTTTTTTTTTTTTTTTTTTTTTTTTTTTTAATCGTGCCTCACCGAAAATGCACTGCATTTGCTAAAGGGGGTACCAATAAGAATTACACCCTGTGCATCTGCTATTTGTGTGCATGTCAGGTACGCACGTGATTTTGCGAGCATTCCCCAACAAGCAGTGATGTGATCCAGGCCTTAACTGGGGTTCCTCGAGACTGAAAATTATTTTCAAGGGGACCTTGGCTGAAAAAAGGTTCAGAAACACTGACCTAGGCAATTCATGCTTTGACAAAGCCAGTGTTTGTCTAGGTTAACTTTGCAGTGCTGCACACATTCTAAAGCAAAATGTATGTGCTGAAAAAATTTGGCATTTAATAGAGATATTTTATGAGCATAAATTGACCCCTATTCACACTTTTTTGCATCCCCTCCACACACGCACTTTACTTTTAGCAAATCAACCCCATAGTGTTTTTTGTGCTGTTTATATAATGCATATAAGTTACACAATGCAAATTATTTAATTAAAGTGCACAAATATGAAGGGGTCTTAAAATAAATGAGCTTCCTCTATTGCAGTGTACAATAATTTGCATTAAAAAACAGCATGCTGGAGCAGGTAGGTGAAAGGAAGCCCTAATGTGACTTGAAAGATACACTACTGCTAAGTTACTGGATCAATATAAGCCCTAGTCCACAAACTTCTGCCTTCCCCTCTAATTAGTGTTAATTCTTCCAGTGTATGCTCTCCATGTGCTTTAAAGGACTGTGTATTATGATTTAAAGCATTGATTTGAACATGAATGTTTCTAAATGTCATAGCATTTAAGAGCACACAATTTAGATATATTCTGTTGTAACTTTTATTTCTTTTAAGTTTAAGGGAAGGAAAAGAGAGCCTGCTGTCTAAAACACGGAAATGTCTGTCTGATATTGTCCGCACATGCTTTTTTGAGGCTGGAAGAAGTATTGCTCACAAATGTGCAAGGTTCTTGGCTCTCTGTATTAGGCAAGTACATTTTTGTTTAGAATATATGTAGCTGTTTGACAGGGTAATATGGCTGCATTCCTCCTTCTATATCTGCAGTGTCTTGCTGCCCTTGTTTTAAATCAAGGCTTCACATTATTACACCTCTCATGAAATAAATGGAGACTGTGATTTTGGACCTATGATTTTGAAACTTTGAGTTGCCTGCCTGTCATGCTGACACTCTTGGGTTAACACTTTGCCTCTCAACTGGGACATGTAGGCAGATGAAGACTAACTTTTCCTCATCTGTGGACCTGTGTATTGTTAGGTATTTACAAAGAATTTTAAACTTGAGGGTCAGCATAACTGGATAACAGAATGGAGATCAGCAGTGGCAGACCTACCGTATATTGCTTTTGTATGCAAATATTTGTCTCTAGCGCTGATGGTCTCTAAGGATTTAAAAAAAAAACATGGCTACAAAAATTGGTGTAATTTTTTTTCAGAGTCTGTTACTCTCTCTTGTATATAAAATGGTGATCATATGAAACAAGCTTAATTTGAGGCTATTTTTTGAAGGTTTTGACATTCTTTTTCCGAATAGCAATGGCAAATGTGATCCAAATCAACAGGGATTTGGCTATGTCCTTTTGAAGGCTTTGCTGGAGAACATGACATATCTGCCTTCTGCTGCCACTGGAGGTATGTACAGTCTTGTGTTATGTTATGTAATGCCATATATCATTAGTTTCTAGCTGTTTTTACTTTATTTCTTTCTGTAGGTGCTGTTTATTGGTATTTTGTTCTGCTAAATTATGTTAAAGATGAAGATCTCGCTGGCTGTAGCACAGCCTGTGCATCCCTTCTCACAGCTGTGTCAAGACAGTTGCAGGATCGACTAACACCCATGGAAGCTTTGCTGCAGACTAGGTAACGAATCCAGTGTCTGAACTGCTTATGGTTTGTGACATTCAAAATACTGCTTTACATTCAGGCTGCAGTTTTCATCCTCCGTTCTGCTCCCTGCATTTGCTTGACTGTATACTTAGACTTACACAGAATTTTTGACTTGTGCAGGAGTTTCTGGGGTTTGGACATTTTTGAAAAAACTGTTTGTCCTGATAAAATTGTTTTAACCAAAACCGTATTTTCATCTGATTTAAGTAATGTCTGGGGCTTTTAAAAACAAAAGGGGCTTTATGGCGACTTAAACGTTTAATATTTTTAACATTGCGCTGTTTATCTCCTCCTCCCCTCCCCTGCCTCTCTGCAGCACTGCATCCAGGGACTAGCAGGGAGGAGAGATACCTTGCACTGATTGGGTGCTCGTCAGGAAAGGGAAGTGTCAGGCTTATCCTTTATCCATGTTGCTGCCAGAGCTGTTTTTGCGTTTTTTGCACACATTTAAAAAATCATTTAAGGCCTGAAGATGAAACAAAACCCCCAACATTATATATTTTTTGATATCAGAGATCCTAGAGAGGTTGCATCGAGTAAATAGATATCCAAAATGTTAAACCTTAATTTTGCGTGCACTTGTGAAACAACAAACTTTAGTACTCTATATTTTCTATAGGCGGTGCTTTTAAAGCCCCTTATAGGTCATCAGTTTAGCGTACTGGAGGAGGTCTGGTGCTAGAATTATTACTCTCATTCTGAGATATGTAATTCATGGCGATATGTAACATGTGTATCACAATTGACGGTTTCATGTGTAGGTTCCCCAGCGCGTACTTTTACGTTTGTGCGTGCGTACATATGTGGGGGTAGGGACCTTGACAGATTTGGGGGAGTGGGGGGTTATATGCTTGGGTGTAACTTTCATTTTAAAAAAAAGTGCCCCCATGTGGTTTTTTTTTGGGTGACAGGTTCTCTTTTTTTTTTTTTTTTTTTTTTTTTTTTTTTTTTTTTGAGACATCCAGGGTCTGAAAGACATTGGATATCTCCCCTGTGCTCCCCTGAATGTAATGCAGTGCACATCGCACCACATTACATTCTTTCCCGGCCTCAATGACTGGGAATCTGTCAAACAGCAACCCGGAAGTGATGTGACGGACAAGAAGGGGAGGGGAGCAGATGTGTCTGCTCTTTCCCCTTCCCTATACCACATCCTGCCGGCACCCACTGAACCAGTCCTGGGCCCAAAGATGGGCAAGTGGAGCCCAAGACATATATAGTGGGCTGGGGGGAAAGGCTGGCACTGTGGGGCTGTGTGCAAGTAATCAGGCGGCAGCGCTGCCACTCGAATGCTTCCACCTGACAGGCTAAAGGCAAAAAGAAAAAACTACCTGCCCGGCGCCCGGAACTACATGTCTCGAGCGTCGGGCAATATGAATTGCACATCCCCGAGTTTTATTTCTTGATGGTTTTGCATTTACAGCCTCATTGGATCTTTTCATGTTTGATGTTGATGGTTTGCAGTTTAAATATTTCTGATCTATTCTGTGATTTGTAAATTACTACATTAAATTTCTCATTGTTGCAATGCATGTTTTGCCATAGATATGGGCTGTACAGTTCTCCGTTTGATCCTGTGCTGTTTGATTTGGAAGTCAGCGGCTCTTCCTGTAAAAATGTGTACAACAGCAGCTCTGGCATACAGTCAGATGAGATTGACCTTTCAGATGTTCTCCTGGGTGAGTCATTCATTTTGGTTTAAAATGGCTCTGTATAGTATGTGACACATTTTAGTATACTTGTTCATGTGTAGCAAACTAAAGCTGGCCAAAAGATGGATCGAAATTCAGCTGGGTCAGTAGGGACTGGGCGAATTTTGATCCATCTATGGCTGTTCCTATTCAAGAAGAGTTGATCTAGTGAACGGCGACTCTAGAACAGGGCGGTTGAAAAAGTTCACCACATACAACCGATCAGCACATACAGCCAATCGACTGCAGAAACGTTTGGTGCATTCTGAAAGCGGAGGATTTCTGCTGTCAAAATACAACACAGAAGGGTGGACTCCTCTGTCCACCTTGATTGTGAGGATGGGGGAATCAGTTTTTTTTTTTTTTTTTTTTATCAGCCTGTTGGCCTTTGAGGAAACAATGAGAAAAGAGCCAGGAAGTTACCATTTTACCAATCATCAGGCATAACTGCAAGATTGTTCATCCATCCATTAGGGTGCATTGCAGCACATAGTTTCTTGTTTCCTTTTCTTGTCTTTTGGGGGAAATTCATGATCACTTATAGGACCGTTTTTTTTACTTCACGGATTCTTGAGGAAAGATGCATGGCACATTCATTTTTGCAAGTGTCAATTCTTTTACCACTTGCAACTGCCACACTGAATTCACTAAGGGGCCCATCCACACCAGCAGATTGTGCGTGCTCCCTGTCATGTGTTTTATTACATTGCAGTACTTTTTTTTTATATACATTTTTTTTAAATTGAACGAACACTTTGAGCTCTCTGCGCAACAGTAAGTTGCAACACTGATACAAATGTAACCCTTTTTTGTGCCTTCATTTTTGCTTAATGTACACCAACTCACTAGTTTGACTAGGGACATAGACAGTAATTGTATCTCCTGTGTCCTTACATTGAGTCTGTCTTGATCAACTCCAATCAATCCATCTGGTTTAATGAGCCCTGTGTTTTAGACTTTTATCCAAATGATGATTCCTTCTTACATTTAACATCTATCAAGTGAGAGGTGAAAAATATACGGTGATTCCCTATGCTAAAACTGAAATTGAAGGATTTACATGAATATATTAAATCAAAACATGAATCTGTTTTCCATCTGTTTTGTCACGTTCATGCGATAATTTAAGTTTTTGGGGTTGTATTCGATTTGTACAAAGAGAGATAACACAAATACTTATAAGTAAATTATTAAAATGTATTAAAGTACTGACAGCTATAGTTAATATTAGAAAATATAACAAGAATACATAATAATGATGCTGTCCCTCCCACTTTCATGGCGTGACAGATGATTACAAATGACTGTATGCATGATGGCAAGCTCTGAAGAAGAGACTGAATGTTTCAAGTTATAACTAGTATAATAGATTTGTGTGTAAGGAATGGCCAGCCCATGGCCAACTCCCCTTGCAAGCAAAATTATCTTTTAAGAACCTGGTCAATTTGTATTGAAATTCATTTGACATGAGTCAGCTGAGATAACCAGTCTTTGTTCTTGGTATAGCCCCTTAACTACGGCTTGGAGCTATTCTTAAATATTGTGAGATAATTAGACATATTTAAATAAGGAAATATGTAATTTGCAATTTCCCTATCACCACGGATTGGAATTGAACGTAAACCTGTGTACATTTGTTTCTATTCAGATCTGTTTTGGATAGGCCCAAAAAGGAAAATGGTGACTGTGTGAAATACAGGAGTATAACATATTGTTTCAGTGCTCTTAACTAATCTACTTTTAGTCCACATCTGATTTGGCCCCTCCCAAAAGGAGCATCCTTAACATTGATCTCCTGCTGAGACAGATGTGAATGGAACTGATGTCGTTTGGTGTTTTTACTACTTCCACTGATAGAAGAAAAACAGATCTGTGTTCAGCCCAGATACATAGGTTAATTCAAAGGTGGTCTCACTAAAATAAAATTAAAAAAAAAAAAAACCTCTCTACAGCATTGGTGGTCTGTATCCTCTGTTGCATTGAGCCCTGGTTCACATATATGCGGCCGTGCGGGCTGCGTCTTGCACGGGCAGGAGAGTCCATTCATTTGAATGGACTCCCGTGACACGCAGGGAAGAACTCGGTTCCCAGTATGGTTGCTTTTTCCAGTGGGGGCGGCATGCCATTAGAACTAATGGCACCCGTGGGTCTGCATTGCTCTGTGGGGGTGGTGCGGCTGCACGGATTTTCGTGCGGATCCGCAGCGGCACCACACGCACATATGTGAACCTAGCCTAATGGTCTGTGTCACCTACAGTGTTTGTGGTCTGTGGTGCTACTTTCACTTCTTTCTGACTGCCCTGCCCTGGCACACTGTGCTTTGTCTTTTACACTGTTTGTTTTTTTTTTTTTGCTTATTTTTTTTTCAGATTGTTTGTGACTATATCATTGTTATTTACAAACCAGTTTTAAGAGAGCACTGAGTACCATAAATATAGGACAGTCAGAATGATTCTGTCTCCCTTGGGTGCCTGTGTGCATACTTTTTTGCTCTTTCATCCATGGTTTTTTTTTCCCTGCATTGTGGTAATATTTTGCTCCTTGGTCTTGCCATTCACTTTGAAAAATTCAGCCACTTGAACAGGTTGAAATATTTTTTCGGCAGTGATAAAATTTCACAGTGCTGTGTGAAGAAAAGATAAATTATGATTGTGGTTTATTTAACAAACACCTTAACCTCAACACAAAGTATAAGGTTGGTTACAGATCAAGAGATTTGTTTTTCAAATACTGTAGTTCACCTTGGTATGTTGACATTTCTTCACAGGTAATGGAAAAGTTAACAGTTGCACAGCTGCAGAGGGCAGTTTTACATCTTTGACTGGCCTACTGGAGGTAGAACCATTGCATTTTTTTACTTGCGTATCAACCAGTGACGGAACCCGAATAGAGAGGGATGATGCAAGTACGTTCACTGGTATATACAATTTTTTTTCTTACTTTTAAAGTGTATGCTGTTTCATTAGATTATTGGTAATGAGGTATTTTCAGTCATACGCTAATAGTTTTCAGAATGTTTGGTTTATTTTAATGTCTTTAAGCTGATCCTAGCCTAAAGAAATATTTTTAGATTTCTAGAAACGTGTATTTTTGTTGAATTTTGGCCTCCTTTGTGAATTTCTTCTAGAGCTATGCATTAATACACTCTCCTGCTCTCTGTGCAGCTTTTCCTGTGTTACTCCCTGGTCACCTCAAGTCCGACTTTGAAATCGTGTGACTTAGAGAAGTTTCACGATTTCAAAGTCGGGTGAGATGCCAATTTCAGGTGCGATTTGTAAGACATCTAACACAGATGTGTATGCAAATCGCACCAAAAGTAGTACATGTACTGCTTTAGAAATTGGTGCGGCTCCAGCCAAGTCAGAACCGCACCGATTTGACCTCTCTAATTGCGAACAAGGCGCATGGCATGCAAATCATATGCCAAGTTGCACCTGATGTGACCGGGGTGTTAACCCCTTTTGCTGACACACCAGTTTTTGCAATCTTTTGCACTTAAGTTAAAATGCCCATTTTATGCTTTAAGTTAAAACCCCCAGGACATATATTTTCTGAAAGCATTGGCCCTGAAGGATAAAATAGTGGCCGTTGCTATTTTTATGTGAGTAAGTATTAGTGCAGCTATTTATCAAACCCATAGTTTTTTTAGTAAAAAATATGATTGGTAATCTTAGTGCACACAAACACAGATATACTACTCAATTACCCATTATTGCACAGGTGGAAGTGATCAGACTGCTTTGTGGTTGCTAGAATCACTTGCTTAAGTGAGCTCTTGGTCGGCTGCTGAATGTACACAAACATAAATCCTTACATTGCTGCTTTGTCTCCTTGTGCAGGGTGAACTGTCTTGCATATGCCCCTTGAAGGTTCTGTAGGCAGCCTATAGCAGTTTGATCTGCTGAGTGGTTCCCCTGGTCTGCACTTGCCCACAGCTGCCCCCTAATTTGATAGGCACGATGTTTAACATGCATATGAGCTTGGCACTAGTGCTGTTCACTCAGTCAAACAGGCATACTGTTAGGTGAAGGTAAGTTGGCACTGCCATCAAAGATGTAATATTTCCCATTACAAATTATTAAAATTGCTATATTTTTCAACAATTTAAATGAAGATATTTGTTTTTGCTTTTACAAGCCCCACCTAAAAATGCCAGTCAAATCTTCCCACCTAATTATGCAGAGGTGATGCTTTTCCCTTTGTGCCGGCTATGTGCAGTCCAATGTTGATACATTTGAACGTTAGTATCTTATCTTTTTTATGGCTATTGAAGGATGTAGTTAAATGAGTATTTTACCTTCAGTTCAGCTTTAACATAAAGCTCTACTCCAGACTGATGTTAAATGGACCTATGCTGTGGGTCCACCAAAATGCATGGTTTAAATCGGAGTGATGTGGCCCGCGATCTCCTGGTCTGCGATGGTGGATCGGTAGGCTTAGATTGTGGTTTGCCGACCTGCCATCCCAGAGCATCAGAATGCATGGACCCAGCATCAGCAACAGAGGAAACAAGCGGCCATGGAGGAAACAGGAGCTGCATAAGCCGATTCGTCCTCTGCTCTAGGTTCCTGTCCTAGGCAAAGTAATATCACATGCACTTCTCCTGAGACCTATCAGCCTAGCGATGCCAGCACTAGCTGACAGAGAAAAAGGTCAGTGTATTAAAGATCACATAGTTCTGCATTGCATTGGGCATATTGGCACTTTTAAAAAAGGGTTCTTAGGCTACTTTCACACTGATTTGCAGGTGCAGCACAGTGCACCTGCATCTATCTATCTATCTATCTATCTATCTATCTATCTATCTATCTATCTATCTATCCAGAGCAGCTTTCTATCCTGCTGATTTGGTGTGCTTTCTGAAAGTGCACCACACCTGCAAGATATAATAGAAGTTTATGGTAAACCTCAGCGCATCAGTGTGACAGCAGCCTTATGGGGGGCTCAGGACAGTAAGCTCTCATTTTCATTTGCGGTTTGGTGGGCAGTAAATCCCCATAGTTGAGGCTTGTTTTACCATACACCCAACCACTCATGTAGCGTGGGGGGGGGGGGGGGGGGGGGGGGTTAGGGGTCGCGGTGGCGACCCTGCTTCATGCTCCAGGGGGCCATTAGAGCCGCAACCTTGCTACATGCTCCAGGGGGCCAATGCAGCCGCCCGGTGAAATTCTGATTTACACTTGGACAGGAGCAGTGGCAGGGGCAGCATATACAGGAACCGATCCTCTCCTCTCCAATTTCCTTCTAACTGCTAAAAGGCAACTTCTCCTCCTCCTCTCCCTCTTGCTGGCATTCAGCGATTGCAGGAAAATGTTTTAATATGCTATTCAAAATTAATACATTTTAAATTCTGAACACTTTCATTGAACACTCCCTAAATACTTTTGTGGCTGGGGGGAGTTGAATTGTTTACATGTTTTTTCCCTGCTCGCCCAGCAGGTGGTGCTCTCCTGTATTGCTCAATGCTCTGGAATGTGATTGGGCTCTTGCCATCCTTTCATACAGTGCAGGACTGCTGTTCCTGCACTGTATGCAATGACATTAGGAAGCTGTGACAGGCCGAACAATGAAGTGGAGATGCTTCAGGTGACAAAGTGGAAGTTAGGAATAAGGTAAGTATTTGCACTAGGCAAATTCATGCAAGTACAGGGGGATCCCACTGCATTGTTTTATTTAACAGCAGCTCAAAATGAGGCTTTAACGAATGTTAGAAATACATATTAACCTTTATTTGCCAGTATGCATATATATACAGATTTTATTTAAAAGAAATAAAAAGTGGGTTTCCTTGCTGTATTCTATGTCAGAATAAAACTTGAGACCGAGCTTTCTAATAAAGAATTATTAATTTGCTTCTGGGTGTAAATTGCAGATTGATCTACAGAGCTGTATACAGCAGGCTGCTAAGCTGGTTCTGGAGGACATGAGATTGCCATCTTCTGGTTAAAAACCTATTGAAAACCTTTATTAAAAAGCATGTCATTTATTTGATTTGAATTTTTTTTTTTTTGCTCTCCCCATAACTAGTCCAAATCCTTTCCTAATTCTGTCCTTCAACAATACCACGGAAATAATAGAAAAACAAAACTGCTGTCTAATATAACTGGCATATTTTTGGAGGTTCCTCAACATTCTTAAAGTATTCCTAAGTGCCCCCATTCTGCTTGAATGCTGGTTCTGGTTGGCCAAATATTGGACCCTTCTAGTAATGTTGAATCTTGTCTGCCATTTATTACCTCCCACACATTGAAGCAAACTATTGTAGCAATGGGCCAGTAGGTATATATGGGCTGGGGCTCAGGAGAGAGCAGCATTGTAGGCACTAATGCTAATTTTCCTGGAGTAAATTCCTGCACAGTAGTTTTGACTAGGGGGTAGTATATTTTATTGATGTTTTGTATGTATAGTCAGAATACAGTTAAGGTTATGGAATGGTTTTTTTTTTTTGTTTTTTTTTTTTTGCTTATCAACAAAAACAATGTAAATGGGTAACCCACAGAAAACTGCACTGCCCTACATTTATTAAGATTTTCTTGGAGAGAGCTAAACTTTACAATTATTTAGGAATTGTGTTAACCAATGATACTTGTAACTTAAGGCTCATTTTTAGACTGTTAGCAAAAAGACTCTAGCAGAAGTTTTACTTATCTCTGGCTATGCCTGTGCAGTCAGCCCTCATAAATTTGTATACGGTCATACTTTGCATCTCCAGTGGAAGGTGTAGGATATGGTTGGCACCTAAACTCTGCTCCTACGTGTAGAGGTCCTCAGGTAATAGCAAGTGGAGGCAGATGTCCAGATTCCTTAAAGTATTGGGCAGAAACAGCGGGAAGAGGAATCCCACCCCCAAAAGGGCAAAACTTCAAAGCAATGCCAATACTTAAAAACATTACAACCAATGATCAGGCAAACCTTAAGTCATGTAATAAAAAAAAATAGAATAAAATAATAGAATAAAAATCATACATACAATACAGTACAATCACTAAAATGATTAAAACAACAAATGTTACCATCTAATGATCCAATTACATTGCAATAAAAAAATGACATGTACCATACCTGATTTTTGCTGCCTGTGCCCCCATTGGGGGATTCACCCTCTCTTTATCACATTTATCATTATCACTGAAAATAAGAGCAAATTCCAAATTTTATTTTGGCTCCACAATGGTAATATATGGGAAATCTTTCAGTTGGTACACTAGCTGTGGTGACTCTGACGACCAAAAGGGATTTGTCATTTTGGTGGGTTTTCCTCATTTTCTGTTTTAGCTATAGACCAGGAAATATAAGGAAATATTTCCAATGGGACAGGGTTTATAACCCTCCCTTATACTATTCAAAATCAACCCCTTGACGCCGACGTCACACAAAATATGCGGCCTCACGGAACTGGGCTTTTTTCCGTGGGGCCGCTTATTTGCGTACCTGTCTTTGTTCAGGGAGCGCGCCGCACTGCGCGCTCCCAGCACAAAGACCGCGGTATCACTGAGAGCCCCGGGTCCCATTCTAACGATTGGGACCCGGGACTCCTGATTCCGTGTCACATGATCACTGTGATAGCCTCCTGATTGGCTATCACAGTGATCAGTCACTGTGCAGCCCTGCCCCCTTGTTTTTTTCTCTCTATGAATGGAGAAGAGAGATACCTTGTATCTCTTGAACTCCTGGCATAGAGAGGAAAAAAAAATGTTTGTAATAAAGAAATTATTAAAAAGTAAAGGAAAAATACCTAGATCAAGGTTTGATCTAGTTCAGTGCCAGGGTTATTGTTTGGGTCAAGGTCAAAAGGGCAGGGTCAAAAGTCAGGATTAAAAAAAAATTGGTGTCAATGTCAGTGTGTTTTAGGTAAAAAAAAAAAAGACAAAAACAAAATGCGCACAATTGTTTCTGGGCTGTACTGTGGGTACAAACAACAAATAACATACACATATATGGTATCGCTGCGATCGTCAAGAGCTGAAGAATTTATTTTAGGTTGTTCTTTGGTGGTAGGTTATGGTAGTAACAAGAAACACACATCTAAATAAAAAAAAAAAAAATTTTTTTTTTACTATTTTGGGCCAGTTTTCCTTTGATAAAAAAAATATCATCAGGGGATATCCATTACTACTTACCACCAAATGAAAGCCCAATATGTCCTGAAAAAAACAAGGTATAATTCACCTGGATGTACAAAGTAGTTGTGATGATATGTACGGTTTTACTAACACATGTCAACGTTGCAAAATTGTGCTTGGGCATTTAGATTTGTTTTACCCTTAGGCATGAAGGGGTTAAAAAAAAGTTTGCTTTAATTACGGCACAACTCCCTTGCCACCTACTAAATATTACTGTTTTACAGCATAGCAAGGGAGAATTTAAGTATGATTTTTTTTTTTCAGTCTTGGAATGAGCATTTAAGAAGGTAAGCGGCGGGTATTTGACCTCTAACTGCATGACGGCAAACACAATGTCCCTGCCCAGAGACCACCTCTTTTCCTTTTATGCATTTCTCGGCAATATTTTCAGTCTGAAGTGAAACATGTCAAGGAGGGGCATTCTCTGGGTAAGGACATATTTTATGCAGTCAAGCGGTTTGTGGTAGAATAAAAAACATTTTAGAAGAGTTGGCATTGGTGTGCAGCTTGTGTATATAAAAATATAACACACACTGCCTTCAAAAAATATTCATACCCCTTAAAATTATAGAGAAAGTAGGTTTTATTCCATTTTTGTTGCAGAAGTTGGAAATACACTTCTAATGTACTGTATGTGTAGCGGTCTTGTAGAATACTGTAATAGAGAGCTTGAATACTTTTGGGGCTCTTTCTCACCATACGTGCATGAAAACTGATGGAAACCGACTTGCTGAGACAACAATTTACATCAGTTTACATGCACACTTCAATGCATGTTGCAGATTCCTGCGCAGAAAAAAATCTGCACGTGATGTTAGTGCTGTGGTGTGAACAGGGCACATAGAGAACAATTGATTTTGTTTTTCCCTTGCAGAATGCGTGCAGAAAATCTGACTTCTCTGCACCATGGTGTGAACGAGCCCTTTAAAGTAGTGGAGTCAACTTTTAATTGTTGCATATAAGTGAGCTAAATATAATTTAGGCAGTGGGGTTCAACCTTTAGCCTACTGGTAAATATTTGAAATTATTTTCATTAACAGACTGCCAGTTGTGAACATCTTCTGCAAGATAGTTGTTTATTTACATGCGGTTATCTCTTTTGCTTCATGCCAGTGAGCACGTTTGGTGTAACTCCTGCAGTGGGCGGCCTAACAGCTGGAACCGTCGGAGAAGCCTCGACTGCTCTCAGCTCAGCAGCTCAGGTTGCTCTGCAGTCACTCTCCCATGCTATGGCTTCAGCAGAGCAGCAGCTCCAAGTATTGCAGGAGAAACAGCTACAGCTTCTGAAGCTTCAACAACAGGTGGGAGGATATTTCCACAATTTTTAATCATGGCACCATAAATGTCAAATAAACAATGCTGTAAGTCCTCGTTTGGTGCTGGTGTGATTTTATTTATTTTCCCCCCTGCATCTGCCATCTCACTTAAATGCACGACAATGGTAATCACATTCTTCTTTATTGATGCCCAGTCACATCAATGTAGCATGATGCAGTGCCATTTGTTTTTTTTTTTTTTTGTTTTTTTTAGGAGATGCGGGTTATTCTTTTGGTGCAGCATAGTGCATTTTTAGCCCCATAGACTTCGAAAGGAGCGCATGTACATGCCTTTTTGGCAGGTTTTTTAATTTAATAGCCAGTTGGCTCCTCTTACAAACTGACCCATGAAGCAAGAAAACGCATAAAAAAACAAGTAAAATTGTATCATTATGCAACAGCACTAGTGTGAACCTAGACTAAAACAGTTTTTCTTATACATTGAGAGACACAAGAATTCAAATGCTGCTGTTAGTGACCACTCCACTTAGGGGTGGCTATATAACAAGCAAAAGATATTTAGGGCATCCCAGGTTAACTCCCCTTCTATCCAGCATGCCTTAATTTTTTTTTTTTTTTTTGCTGTTGTCCTACAAGGATCAATGTCGTTTCCTTCCTCTGCTGAGTAAAGTTACCAATTTTTTTTTTTTCCCTTTGATTTTTCTATGCTGGATTTCTTCTTTGGTTGACATTAAAGTGACTGTAAAGGCTCAATGTTTTTTTTACCTTTGTGCATTCTCTGCATAAAGTTTAAAAACCTGTGTGCAGCAGGCCCCTTCAATACCAGCCTGAGCCCCATCTCTATTCAGAGGTTTGCATGAGATCCTCAGATGTCCTGGGTCTCTCCCTCCTTACTGGCTGAGACTTCAGCGGGAGCCATTGGCTCCTGCCACGTTCAGTCACAGCCTGTGAGCTAATGATGAAAGTGCAGGGGTGGGGCCAAACCTCATCTCTGTGTGAATGGGACTCCGCAGCGGCACAGGTGCCCCCATAGCAAGCTGCTTGCTTGGGGGCATTTGGCAGGAGGGAGAGGACAGAAGCCCTGGCAGGGGCCCCGAAGAGAGGATGATCGAGACTTCTCTGTGCAAAACCACTATACAGAACAGGTAAGTATAACATGTTTCTTATTTAAAAAAAAAAAAAAAACACAAAAATTTTAATCAACCTTCAGCACTACATCACTGCTTGAGCTGGTCTTTACATGGCAGATGTCCAGGTTGGATTTTCCTCAGCCTGACTTATGCCGTACTTGGACCTCGTTGGACTATCCTTGAATGTGACCTTCGGGCACTCGGTTACGCTTGTGGCCCACCTGGTCCAGAGCCGTGTTATTGCCCCTGTGCTTGCCCAGTCTCCGAAGAACCGCTCACTGTTGTTGGCCGATCGGGGTAAGCTACTGAACTGTGTCACCGTTTGCGCTGCCAGGAACTTTTCAAATTTCCTGTTAAGGCCCCTTTCACAAAGATGTTCAGTCTAGATCAGTTTGTCAGCTTTCCAGACTGATCCAAACTAAGCCACAGATGAATGACAGGAACCGCTCTTTGTTTAATCCCAAAACACCATGTATTCTGTGAAAAGAATACAAGATGTTTTGTTAATGGATTATGGTGGAGGAAAGGGGTAGCGGAAGCACCATTTACTACATTCAATACACTAGTGGACCCAAATGATCATCTGCCATGAATTCTACTAAGATTTTTGTCATCCCCAGCAGCCATTCAGATGTAGTATATCCAGTATTAGAGGTAAATTATCTAGACCAATCAAAAGTAACCCCCCCTCGTTTTTTTTTTTTCTTCTTTTTCCTTGAATTTCCACTTCAAAGATGTAAAAATTTAGTTGCAGGTATTTTACCTATGAACTTTTATCAAGTGTGGTAAGTCTTACTGTTCTTTAGAGTAGTAGCATGAAATTGTAACCTTTTTTTTCTTGCATCACTGCTTTCAAACAGAAGTGTTCTAAAAGTACTATTGCTGTAAATGCTAGCATGTTTACATCAAACCTATGGTTAACATAATATATCTTGATATAGTATAATTTCTTCTGCTCTTCACATTGAAGCTCAAGTAGACACAGTGGATAGTAGACATAAGATCTTCGAATATGTCCCTAAAGCTGGCCATAGACTGTTCAAATCTTGGCCAGTTCAGCAGGGACCAGCTGAGATTCGAACCATGTCTGGGCAGGCTGAATGTACCCAAGCTGATTGATCGACCAACTTGGGTACCACCAGCTTGTCAGATTGATAGCGGCAGTCATAGCCACTAGCAGTAATTGCCTTGTGTTCCCAACGTGTATGGCTCCCCCCGACGGGAGAACACAATGGCTCCATGGGATGGATATCCCCATCATCACTGACTTTGTTGATGAGGGAATCGAGCAGTTTTGTTTCCTGCAACCCATGGTGGCAGAAAAGAAAATTGCTTCAGCTATGGCCAGCTTAAATATGCTATAAATATGTAAATTATTAGTATGCTATAAATATGTAAATTAATACTAACACTTTAAAAATGAGTGTATTTTGATTTATTAATAATGCAGTTTTGAAAAGAAAAGTGTTAGATCCTTCTGCCTTTATGAACTACTGTCACTGTTTGCATTTTACGTTGGTTGTCTTTTAATTGTTTATTCTTTCCAGAAGGCAAAACTGGAGGCCAAGTTGCAACCAGACAACAGCCGCAGCTGCTGCAGCAGCTTCAGCAGCAGGTCCTGTCCACAACTCTGTGCCTCCCAATCCCGTGGCAGCTCCAGGATTCTTTATCCATCCATCTGATGTCATCCCACCCACTCCAAAAACAACTCCTCTCTTCATGACCCCACCACTCACACCACCCAATGAAGCAGTGTCAGCTGCCATCAATGCAGAGCTGGCTCAGCTGTTCCCTGGCACGGTTATTGATTCTCCACCTGCTATCTTGGCTTCACATGGCAAGAATGCTAACAAACCTAGAGGGGTAACAGTTTTTTTATTTTCCTTTCACGTTTTTCTCTTGATAAAGCACACACTTTTCCACAACCTTAACCCTTTCACTTCCCCGTTTTCGCTGCCCCCTTTAACCGGGGGGTGTGTGGAAACGATTGGACGGCTGCTCAACTGCTGGATGGCTTCCATCTGCAGCCACTGGGTGTGTGTAATTGCTGTTACTGTTGTAATTTAAACATCAATGGCCGTGAAGGGGTTGAACCGTTGTTCTTTGCATACATTTAAACAGTGTTTACAGTTTAAATACAGTTTCTCTGTCTACTTTTTATAGTGCACTATTTTTCCTTAGGTTAAAATTATGGTGTTCATATACATTTTAACATTCAATTTATAGTATATTTAATAGGGTATGTATTCCCACTTTCAGACTTTACCATCCTGTATTTCATTACTTTGTTACTCCTGAAATTGGGAGACAGTTAATCTGTCCATAGTAATGCACACTAAATATTTACATATCTTAATCGTGCAGTACAGGACATATGCAAAGCATTCAAAGACCCTGGGTTATAGGCTTGTACTTTCTGGACTTAGCTGAAAGCATTATTAAACCCAAACCAAAAATGTGACATATCACAGCTTACCAGTTATTAGATATGCTTGCATCAGTTTTTTTTTCCTGAGGCTGTTTTCTTTGTTTTCACCTGGTGATTGGCCAGTAACACAGCAGCTAATACTTTATAAGCAGTTACAGCAAACTGTTTTTTTTTTTTTCCTTTGGGGATAAAGGTTTTACATAAATAAAAGTTGATCGCTATAAGCACCCCTGCTAGTGTTAAATTGTCTCAAGCCTGAAACTGATGCATTCTGCTGGAGAGCTTGTTCTTTGAAAAACAGACTTACTGGTTGGATTACCAGGTGAAAATAGAAGAAAGCCTAAAGACATTTTTTTATTATTATCTCTACAGTTATCTCCTTCACTGTCCTCTAATTTCAAAATCTAATCAGCGCACCCAAATCAACATGTCTGTTAAACCTTTGGATCTGTACCCGAACCCTGTGGGGTTGTCAGGGTGGAGAAACCAATTTTAATACAGGCATCTGCATCCAGTTCTAGCTGTATTTCATGCATGCAACAAGCACCCTACCCCAGGGAAAGGCAGAATTCTATTACATCAGTGTCACAATTCCTCTAACAGCCCTAATACAGCAATTTTTGTCCAGGACTACATAGACCCCTTCTTCTAGCTCCTCCATCTGTTCCCAAGTCAGATCTCAATATGCATGGCCTAGACAGGACAAAGAAGAGAATGAGAGGACATAGAAGCAGTTTTAGAGGGGGCTGAGGGTAATTTTTCTTTTCCACACTTTTACACCTGAAAAGCGAGTTTCATGCACCATACTCGCTAACCTGAATAAGTTCACTGCTGCCAAGCACAAAAGCCTTGGCATTGTAGTTCTCGTCTCTCACCAGACTTTTTTCAGTATAAAGATACCTACAATTGCTATTAAAACGGAAGTAAACACCTCTTGGGGACTTGTACTTGCACATAAGCTTTATTGGAAGCTTTACCTGTAGGTACAAGGAATATCTCCTAAACGTGCAACATTTAGGAGATATTGATTATTTGTGCAGCCGTTGATGTAATTGGCCAATGTGCACTAAACTCTGAAGGGACGCCATACTTAGTATGCCATCTCTTCAAAGCGCTCAGCCATGAACGCGGCTCCGTTGTGCATATGCGTGGGAGTGACATTATCGCGGCTCACCATTCAAACATCTGGAGCCCACGAACCTGGAAGGAAGACCAGATGAAGATGGAAGCCTTGTCAGTGGTGACTGCGTGCCGCTAGAGGGCTTAGTTTTAAGATGAGTCTTTCATAATGTGCTAGTATGCAATTTGCTGGAGTTTTTTTAAACTCAGAATGTACTACCACTTGAAGGCATTCCCCATTCATGAACAAATATAATGGGCAAACTGATGACTGGATCACTCCAGAAGAGATTTCACTATTTTAGAAATCTTTAGCGCACACTATACATGGGATGAAAGTTCACTAAAAGGTGGTCTTTTCCGGTTCTTGGTCCTGCTGTCTCCATCTTAAATATCTACACCAATTGAAGATGAGCAGATAGCAAGTTTGTGATGCTTCTGAAGGCTCCTCTTCACTCTTGCAGGCTCAGCCCTACAACCAGGTTTACATGCAAGTTAAGCATTCAAACTGCAGCTAACTGGATAAGGGCAATGAACAACCAAGAGTGTCCTATATTCCAAGACTGTGCATTAATGGAGCAATTGCAGATATTGCCCTCTGCTTTGTTTTTCTTTTGTCAATTCGATAGAGCATGTCATGAGGCAAACTTGCAGATTGGTACCTTGCACATTATTATGCCCTTTCGAGGCTGGCATCTTTTAGGGACCTCACTTCATCTATTCATCAAAGGTATCATAGGGCATTCTCCCCTTCCAGAAGATCTACCATCGTACCTGGAAAACCTTTTCCTGGTGTGAACAGACCATGCCCATCCCGGACCCACAGGTGAAACTGGACGGGAATACATAGGGTATACCTGTTATAATTGCCAGGAGTGTGTGTTGGGAGATGCAGTGCCTCCTTTTCCTGTTTAAATTGCCTTGCACATATGCTTTGTAAGTTCTTCAGAGTTGATTTATTTGCCTCTTCAAATGCTAGTTTGGATTGAAAGATTTTGCAAGTGGCTATATATTGACTTCGGTTTCCTTTTGGTTTTTGTGTTCACCTGCTTTTTTTTTTGCTCTCTACACAGCTTGAACTGGTTTTGGATGTACCTAGGTTCATAATCTTGAAATTGTGTACATCAACGGGCGATTATATTTCTTAATCCTACATTACATTGAATCTTTATCTTAACCTGTAAGCTTTTCCTAAAACTGGAGCATGCTCAATAGATGTCAACACCTGGTCTACACAATCTCAGGCTGCACGGGGGCACACACAAGGAAAGGAGGGACAGTGAACAGCAGGATCCACCATGATTTTTGCAGTCTACAGAAAACAAACCCTCTAGTGGAGGAGTGAATATGAATGCAATGTAATATAGCATATATTGACAGTTTTTTGATTATTTGGGTTTAATTACACTTTAAGAGTAAGATTCTGTCTCCTGTACTGTGCTTAAATTAATGTTTTTAAAAAATATATATTTTTTTTTTTGTTTTGTGCTTGCCATAAGATCTATTTCTCAAAGTCCATTGAAGGACACAGTCCCCCCTCCCCCCCAATATGCTATCACCTCTCTTTGGACTGCTTACTATAACCAAGTAAGTGGTAGGGTTTATAGCCTCAAGAGGGCGATGGACTTCATTTTCTATTTCCTAGTGTCTCTTTCTCCTTAGGTGGTAGTATGATTGTGTTTCTTGTTATGACAGTTTGGTCTCTCAATAGACTCAGGGAAAAGGGTTTTACAGTGAGTACAAAAATCCTGTTTTGTAAGGACTGTTTCAGTCAAAATTCATAATTGGAAAATGGGTCATATACAAGAGAGAAGAACCTTTTTGCCCATGTTTTCAGTATTTAATCTTAAATTTATTAAAACAGAATTTCATTCAAAATGATTTGTTTTGACCAAATTAATTATTTGCATGCCTGACGGACTGGCTGTTACTTTAGCTGTACAGTAAGCAGTGCTGTTCTGGCAGCAGTACAGTAAACTTCCCCTTTATTGCTGGAAATGGAGAGAGTCGATTGTAAGACATCTTTGCCATTAATGAAAATCATTGTATTTTTTTTAATTGAATTCAAGGCTTTCTCTGATTGGCTGAGGTGGAGATTGTGACATCATCGACCTGCCTTCCCATCCTAATCAGTCAGAGAATTAATCATAATTAAGAATGCAAGGCGTCTCCAAAATGGCAGACATCCAGTACAACTGACTTTTGTTTTTTGTTTTTTTTATTCAGGAGTAGGTAGGAAATCTATTAGATTGCTTCCAAAACATAGGCTGGAATCTACTGTAGTAGCTTGTGATATGTAGAGTAAGCAGTGCTAAGTAGCCAGTCTATTGGCTGATGAATAACTTTTGGGCCCATTTGGCCTTATTTAAAATGCCAGGAAACCTGTAATTCTCTTTTAAAGCCACCAAGATAAGCATCTCTTGACTGTTGTAACCCAAGAAATGGTTATGGACGTCATGGCTCAGATATTGGAAAATTGGGTGAAATTTCATGGTTGAGAATCAGCAGTTCACCAATTGCTGCCTGAAGTTTCTGTGTAATGAGATTTTTCCCTTTCACATAGAAAATTTATTCTAGTTAGTGGCCATAGTTGGGATTACAGTCTTGTTCAGTTTTCTTGTTATCATGAAAGTCTGATACAGAGGCTGTAAATTTTAAGTTTTTTCTTTTTTTTCTCTCATGGCAGTAACTTTTATTTTGGGGTGTCTTTCTGGAACTCATTGTAATTGGCATTTCCACATTTCAAATGAAGACTGGTTACTGAATGGTAGAATTATTTGGTGAATTGTTTGGTGAAACTGCAGCTTAATTGGACCTTCTAACTTCCTCAAATTTAGGGAGGTGCAGTAGATAGACTTTTCCAGGTTGATACACCGTAGGTCCTAAAACACGTAAATCCCATTTCAAATACAAACATGTATTTTGCATGTTTTGGTTTTATTTTCCCTTGGCTTTTGTACTTGCAGTAGTGTTTTACATAGTTTGTGTCTTGGTGCTAATATAACTTATTGCTTTGCTTCAGAATCAGCTCGGTTCAGGTCTTGCACTGGCGATCTCTCATGCCTCTCATTTTCTACAGCCTCCTCCTCATCAGTCCATTATTATAGAAAGAATGCATTCTGGTGAGTTAAACTATGCACTGCTTCAATTTCTAAAGATAATTGTAATGCATTATTTGTTGTTTTTGAGTTGTTTTTTGTAAAGATGTTTTTGTAAAAACTTTTTGATTTTTCTTTCAAGGAGCCAGAAGATTTGTGACACTGGATTTTGGCAGACCTGTTCTCCTTACAGATATTCTCATTCCTACCTGTGGTGATCTAGCCTCCTTGTCTATAGATATCTGGAGTTTGGGTGAGGAAGTGGATGGCAGAAGACTCGTGGTTGCAACTGATATCAGTACCCATTCACTAATACTACATGACTTGTTACCACCCCCTGTGTGCAGGTTCATGAAGGTAATGAATAATTAAAAAAGGATTTATAGTTTACTACCTGAGGCACCTGTGTAGTAAATGGCCCACTCCATCATGTTGCCCCATTGTATGCAGAACAAGGCCCTTATCTTCTATTTGGGATTATGACCAAACTGTCCTCATGGTGTGTATGAATGTGCTTGTCTGTGTGGTAGAGACCTTCGATTGTGAGCACCATTAGGATAAGGAACTCTGGTATTGACACTCCTGTAGTGCTGCATGATATCTTTGCTGTTTAAAAATAGGAACTAAAGAAATTAACTCTTTGTTGGATTGCAATGTTAGGGTTCAGTGGATCACATGCACTGTCCCACACAGAGCTATTGTATTTGTTACTGCTAGGTCTAAATCGTACAATTAAAACACTGTCCCAGTAACTAGAAGCAATGGAGGCTCAACGAACATGAAGGTTTTATAATAGAGGAAATAAACATACTACATATTCTTAGTATTTTATATGCAACTCTCAGTTGCTTGCTTATCAAATAGGGTTTTATACATTACATTTTCAGTATTCTAATTATCCCCTACCTAAGATGATTTGAAAAATCCCTTTGCACTTTTGAACCTGTGTGGACAGAACTGAATTAAACGGCTGTATAGAGAAAGTGAAAGGATTATATTAAGGGTTTGTATAGTAGGTTTTTTTTTTTTTTTTTTTTTTTTTTTTTTTTTTTTTTTCCCCTAAATGTTTGGGGAGCGGTTACTTATGAGGAAAGTGCAGCAGTTACAAATATATATAGTTTTCAATTGATATATTGTTGGCTTCTAGATCACAGTTATTGGTCGTTATGGAAGTACAAATGCCAGAGCCAAAATTCCTCTAGGCTTTTATTATGGCCATACCTACATTTTACCATGGGAGAGTGAACTGAAACTCATGCATGACCCACTCAGAGGTGAAAGTGAATCAGCAAGTCAACCTGACATTGACCAGCATCTGACAATGATGGTAGCTTTGCAGGAAGATATCCAGTGCAGGTAAGTTATGAAGTCTTAAGATAATTCATGTTTGTAAATTATCATGTTCCTAAACACATCTTTGTATGATTAGGAAATATGTGCACATATTAGATCAAATAGTAAATGCATGGCTCAAAATGAATTTGTGTTGCTTCTTAAAATAAACCTGTACACCCCCAATCCCTCCCCTGGGCCCTTTTGGTTAGTTCTTGTCACATGACTGCTAACATCCTCTAGCCACACTAAATGGGTGGGGTTCTTTTCATAAGTGCGTCACTTCCAATGACCTTACTTGGTACTCAATTCCTTTTTCCTATGAGCAGGCTTGCAGGCACATCCGCCGTTAAACTCTCATATGTAAAAATAAAATAATGCTGCAAACCTTAGCACTTACTTAGCTTGGTTGTCTGATTGCTTTGCTCTACATCTCCTCTTGTCCTTCCTGTTTTTATGTGGCTCCATGCCCTAACGGGGACCAGTGGAGCCACCTTTGCATGCTTGCGCCTGGCGTGAGACTCATGTTTTCACAGAAACCATCCCAGTGGTAAGCCACACCCCTGCTCTCTGTCCTCCCTGCACTTGCTCCCTGTGCTGTCCTTATTGCCTTGTGCGTGTGAAGCACTTGGGGCGCATGCTCAAGCTACTCAGAGGTTTGGGGAATCTCAGGGTGGGTTATTAGCCACATTTAGAATTGGATAATGTCACACAACATATTTGGAATGCATACATAAAAAAAACCTACTTTAAAGTGAACATCTTGGCCTCTTTTTGTTGCCAGAATCTTGGAAGCCTGTCTGCCCTCCAGTGCAAATAGAGGTGGTTTGGGCCACATGCATACTGTGCATCTACCTCTGTGCATCCTTTCCTGGTGTTTGGTGTATCTGGGTGGCACAGGTGTAGCATCCAGCCCCAGTGCCTGCAACTGACAGGCTGGAATAAGCTGCTGCTGGATGCGGTACCAAGTGGTACTTGTGTTTAGGGCCCTAAGCGACGTATGTCCAGAATGCTGAATTCTTGTGTCCTGGGCATATGTCCCTGAATTTTTAGGATCTGCTCAAGTACCACTTAATAACAGTGTCCAGCCGCAGCATATTTATTTCAAAGTGTATAACCGGTTTCAAGTAATGAGACTGAAGGCTCTGTAAGCAAAAAAAAAAAAGCCATAAATCGACGCATGGGGCTACACATCAATGTTGCGTAAGCTGTTAGAAGCTAATGTAAACCAACTTTTGTACTTGCGAGCTGTGAGGATCTTTGACAGTACAAGCAGCTAAGAGGTGTCAGAGGTTCTAAAACTTTTTTACTGTTAAGATTATGTAACTATGTCTGTAGTCTGGGTGCAGGTGCATTTTAAACTGCACCATGGGAGTGTTACAGAAGAAATAAAAGTCACAAAGCAATGAGGGTCACAGGGTGCAGTTACAGCAATATATAAAAACTAGGCTTTTGGCATTGTATACAATTTTATAGCTCATGTTGCTTTTTCAGCAATGTAATTAGTACTTTGTGTTTTTTGGGCAGGTATAATCTTGCTTGCCATCGATTAGAGACTCTGCTACAAAGCATTGATCTTCCTCCACTGAATAGCGCCAATAATGCACAATATTTCCTGAGAAAGCCAGATAAAGCTGTAGAAGAAGACAGTAGAGTGTTTTCTGCTTACCAGGACTGCATACAGCTACAACTACAGTTAAACCTGGCTCATCATGCTGTTCAAAGACTCAAGGTGGCCCTCGGCATGAGCAGAAAAACACTGAGGGAGCAATATGATTCTAGAGAACTTATCCATTCATCCTCAACTGAACAGTTGCGTACAATTATTCGGTACCTTCTGGACACCTTACTAAGCCTCCTCCACTCCTCCAATGGTAAGTTTTGTCCTCTTATTAAAAATCAAATTTTTGGCTAAATGATTATGTAAATGTTGTCTCTCAAAACTGTAGTTAACATAAGAAGGCTTTAACTTAGTGTAAAGTCTGAATTTTTTTTTTTTTTCCAATCCAAATAACAAGCATGTTCTACTCATCTGCTCTGTGCAGTGGTATTGCACAGGCCGGCCCCGATCTTCCTCTTCTCGGGTCCCCCGCCGGCGATCTCCACCCCTCCTGTTCTTTGTGTGTCCTCCATAGCAAGCTGTGGGGACACATGCTGCATGCACACTCCCAACCCATGTGTCTATGGAACTGCACTTCATAGACATACACAGTGGGACTTAGCCCTGTCCCCCCACTTCCTCTTCACTACATTTAATTGACAGCAGCAAGAGCCAATGACTCCTGCTGCTGTTCGAGTCCCTGTGTGAAGAGGAAACGATGGGAGAAGAGATGCAGCCGTGCACAGCGCTAATCTCTTTTCCCCTCTCTTCCCCTTCACACGGAAGGAGGAGCACAGACAAATAGAAAATATTTTTTACCTTAATGAAAGTAATGCATTAAGGTAAATGTTTTTAAGTTTAGTATCACTTTAAAGAATGAGACCACACAAAATAACAAACAATCTTCAGATTGGGACTTGATAAAATGACGTCTTATATTTGAGACCCTCCAGTTGCCAAATTTGTTCTGGGCCTCTTTCACATGGGTGGCTGGGGGTGGGGGGGGGTTAGGTGGTTTAACCATGCCTTTACTGCCCACCTAAAGTCCACAATGGAGCTAGAGGGCGCTGTTGCGCCGTGACAAATTTAATGTGGCTTATGAAGTTGATAGGTGCCACCACATGTCAAACTCGGCCATTCAAGTTGATGAAACGTGTTTGCAGCTCCATGTCCCATTGAAAATAGCTTTTCAGCAAAAAAAAAAAAAAAACAGGCTTTCTTTCTGAACTGACAGTGATTGCTTAGCCTAGGGTGAAATTAGCCTTAGAAGCTTGCATTAATGTCCCTCACCATGCATGTATCATGTTTGTTCCCACCGTGGGGTGTTTTTTTTACCTTTTATCTCATGATTATGTCAAAATAAAAATGTAGCAGAGTAAATGGCACAATCTTGTGATGTTTTGATTGCCATCGGGACTTGTGTGAAACCTAATAGACTTTCTGCTCATTCAATATCCATCAGTCCACTAATGGGAGTAAATTAATTTAAGAAAAATATTGATACAAATCCTAAAGACACCATCCTTGAATTGCTGCTACAGTACAAAAATGAATTTGTTTTCCTTGACTTGAAGAATAATAAAAATACACTTGTCAGTTTAGAAAATAAAGGTTTATGATGTAGATGGAGAACTTCACCCTGACTCCTCAGTACTTGCTTAAATTCAGGCATAGTTCCAATGCACCAAACTGGTTTTCTTAATCGTGCATTACGGTACACGGGATCGTAGTCTATGGTGATATTGTTGTGCAACTGTATTCAGGTGATTGGATACTGGCAAAAGCTGTAAGGACAGCCCAAGCATATAACCCTTCCCACTCCCAACAAGCCTCAGTTTTTTGCTACTGTCCTTAGGTGTACTACTTCTTGCTTCAAACTTTTCTTTGTCTACATGATGATTCTTCTATCAAGTCTGCAGCTGAGCTTCGCATTGTGGTCTTTAGTGACTGTACCCAAACTCCTCCTGATAGAAGATGCAGAGCGAACCTGGAAACGTTGCTTTGAGCATTGAATCCTGTGTGGGTGCTCACCCAAGCTTGTAATTCAACATGTTGGATTAGCCGAATAGTGCTACCAAGTGATAAAGACTCCCCAGTTGAATGTGCTCATTAGCAGGATGAAGACTTGACGGGGACTTGTCTCCATCACCTATTGTCTGCCAGGACCACAAGACACTGCAGACCACTTTCTTAGGAGCCCAGGGTTCCGCTGCCACTACTCTTAGGGACAGGGATTTGGGCCCTTAGGGCTGCATGCTTCTTTGTTTCTGCAGCTGCTCTAGAAGTTAGTCCTTGATCAGTAGTATTGCCTGGCACTGTGAGAGTTACTACCCATCAATGTCTTCATGTGGCGCTGGACTGTATCTATTTTCAGGCACAGCCTATGGTGGATTTTTGAAATTGGTGCCGTTTCCTCTGTTGCCCCTCTGAGTGTCTGGGGGTGCCTCAATTGTGCTAACTTGTGCTGACTGACTTACTGTGCTGATACGTGTCATTTTACTATTTTTGGGCATGCAGTCCACTGTTATAGGAAGGGCCTTGCTCACTCCTCCCTTCTCCTGGCTTCACGGCACAATCCTTGGACATTTTGGCCACCCTCTGCCTGCAGTGGCTGGTCATGAAAAGTGTATCAGGGAGTTGCAGTCCTTGCTCAATAATATTGCCTGGCAATGTGGGAATTACTATCCTCCAATGGCCACATTTGGCTTGGACATTCTCGGCAACCTCTACCAACAGTGCCTGGTCACAGAAGGTGTATCCTCTTCTTTCTGTATAGTTCCCCTTATTTTAATGACATTATAGGAATAGGTAGGTAGTTCACACTCGGCTAACAGCCCATGTGAGGGTCTGCTGCATCTCCCTCCATGGCCCTGAATCTGATAGTCTTGATCACTGCACCCAGTCATAGTCTCTACTCCCCATAGAGGCCTTTTTGATGCTCCCCCTTACCGCCTGATTATATGGGAAGGCTGTCTACCTTGGTAGAGGACTCAAATTGAAGGTAATGCAAGCAAGATCCCCCTCCTCTCTTCGAGTCCATATTCATTCTCTTGCAGGTTCTATGCTCAATAAAGAGGGGAGGGCTTCTCATCCAACTTTGAGGATTTTGCCAGCGATTACACCCAGTCCGCTAATATCTTTCACAAACTGAAGGATACTTCAGGTCCTCATTGACACAGTATGCTTGAATCTTGCCCTAGAGCAGTATAGGTCAACCCAGTCAAGTCACCAGGCTGTGTTTTTTAAATTCTTAAATTCAGGAAACTGCAAGGGTTAGCGGCTTGTTTAGTCTAGGGGAGAGTAAAAGCTATTTTACTTTCCCAGTCCACTGCTCCCCCATTAGACGGCACTCCCCATGCTATGGCGGTAGACTGACTTTGCTTAGATGCTGCAGTGACCAGTCTAGCAGCACAGAAGAGCAGGTAAGTAATCCACTATGTTAATCTTACAGCAGTGGCAACAGGATGGATGTTGGTAGGCCCTGGGATTATAGGCTGCTACCTACAGGTGATTGGATACTGGCAAACCTTTTCGACACACCACCTGGGCATACTCCTATAGCCCTATCCCACTCAGTGAGACCTTCGTTATCCTTATCGTATAGTATAAGACACAGGCTGAGTACTCATCAAGGTGGATTTGATTTAAATCACAATTTAAATCCTGATTTAAATCACTGGTGAAGAGGCTCGATTTAAATCATAATTTTTAAAGAGCAGCTGCCATCTCTGTCCCGCAGCTGCTCCTCCTCTGATCTGCTGTTGACTCACTGACAGTCCCATTCATTTTAATGGGATGCTGGTGATGCGGCAGTGACATAACAAGGTGAGGGACGTGGCGGCAGCAGGTGAGTGGATGCATGCTAACAGGCGCTGCCATGTTGAATCTAAAATGATAGGTGCTCTTTAAATTTAAAGAATCCGACTCATTCTTGCTTCCAGTTAGAATCTTTAATATTTGCAAACCAAATGAAGGTTTCCTTTTTAGATTAGGTCTTCATGCACACTGGATGTTTTTTACAGCTGCCGTTTTTTGGCTTTTGGCGGTTTTTTCTACGGCCAGTAAACTCCCCAGCATGTTATCCTATGTGTCCATACACACATAGACTGTAATAAGCGGTTTTTGGCAGAGGTGGTTTTGGCTGGAAAAAAAACCCCAGAGCTAGTGGATTTCTACAGTTGGACCTTGACGTTACTGTGTTGCCCACTTGCACAACTTTTAGGCATTACAATCCCAATTTTATTTTTTCTAATCCTAATATAGAATACAGAGTAAACAGTCTTTTTGAGTATTTTAATTTTGTAATGTTTTCCTCTCAGTTCGTTTTAATGGCAGGAGGCAGACTGCAAAGCTATTAACTGTGATGTCTTGAGTTTTCCCAAGCAGTGCCTGTCTATGAAATTTTAGCTGTAAAGTCTTTTGCTACTGGCTTAAAGCAGTTATACACGCTTTCAAATTCCCTGCCTCGCTTTTGTGAAGTAAACAAGAAAGCAGACAGCTTCCCTCTGATTGTGTTCGATCTTTCATCCATCTTTATTGAAACTTGGTATAGCGCACTGCAGCCCCTCCTGGGATGTACCAACTTTTAACATGTTTCACCCACACATGGGCTTTATCATTTCGATCAAACCAGTTTGTGGGTGAAACGTGTTCTAGTTGGGTGGTCCAGGTGGAGCTTCCATGTTATGTCTGCTTTCAGTATGTTGAATGAAAGATCTGACATCGTTGGAGTGTAACTGTCTGCTTCCTCATTTAAAGCCCTTTGTTTTAATTAACTTCGCTATTATAATAGTGTGCTGTAGCAGCTTCCGTCTTCAGACTTGAGTGGTTAATAAAGAAACAAATCACAGGGCTGCATATTATGATTATTATACCAAATAACTTGTTAGGTTAGCATGACATTCATGTTGTAAACCTCTTCTGAAGAAATTTAGCAAAAGCATCTCTTCTATATGACTTTTTCCACAATTATGCAAATTAAAAGGATATTGGTAAAATAACATTCTTGTAAATACTTTTTTTGTTTGCAGGACCTTCTGTACCAGCAGTCCTGCAGAACACTTTCCATGCTCAGGCTTGTGAAGAGCTGTTTAAACACTTGTGCATAAGCGGAACGCCAAAGATAAGATTGCACACTGGCCTGCTCTTGGTGCAGCTCTGTGGTGCTGAAAGATGGTGGGGCCAGTTTCTTTCCAATGTTTTACAAGAACTATACAACTCAGAGCAGTTGTTGATCTTCCCTCAGGACCGGTGAGAGATACTTTTAAATATATATGCATTGTGTACTGCTTGGAGATAGGTCAGTCGGTGGCTCACAACATCAATTTTTACCTATGACTTTTTGGATGGGCATGCCCTTTAGCTAGCACTAGCAAATATTAAGGTTTTATATGTTGAATGGAGATGCTGTGCATTGAATCTTGGGCAGATGGATTACCTCAGTGTTTTGTTTTTGCATTCTGTTTGCAGAGTCTTCATGCTACTTTCTTGTATAGGCCAAAGATCCCTTAGTAACAGTGGAGTCCTGGAAAGTTTATTGAATCTACTGGACAATCTTTTATCTCCTCTACAGCCACATTTACCTGTATATAGGCGTGTTGAAGGTAAGAGCCTTTTCATGTAAGGGGTAGGTTGTGCATTTATTTGACTTTCATTCTCTCCAAAATTTGACTTGCATTTTTCACTTGACTTAATCTCTGCTTATGCAATTTTTTTACTGAGTCTCCCAGGTTTGATATGGATTTAGTTTGCCAGATTTACAAATGATCAATTATAAGGCCTCATGCACACAGGGTGTTTGCTTTGCTCCTTTAAACAGTGGAGCTCCTCGTAGGAGAAATGCTTCTTAAAGTGGAACTTCAATCAACATGCACTATTTATTATTAATTCTTATACTGCTGGCATTAGTAAATAGATAGGAAAGTATATTTACTTGTTTTAAACTTTCATTTCCTCAGTCACTTCCTCGTTTCTATGGCTAGGCAAATGACATCATACATCCCAGCAGTCTTCAGGAGGGGGAGGAGGGTTCTCAGCCTATGCCCGAGCTAAGGGCAGAATGATTCCAGAAGTAGATGATACACAGCACAGCCATGCAAAGCAGTAAACTTACTGTGAAGCACTAACACAACACACTTAGTAAAAACGGCACACAGTTAACCCTTTGGTCGCCCCATATGTTAACCCCTTCCTGCCCAGTCCCATTAGTACAGTATCAGTGCTTTTTATTAGCACTGATCACTGTATTGGTGTCACTGGGGATGTCAGTGACACCAAGTCAGTTCCCCCCAGTGTCAGATTGCCCGCCGCAGTCCTGCAATAAGTTGCTGATCGCCGTCATTACTAGTAAAAATAATTTAAGAAAAAATCCCAGTATATATACCGCCATTTGTAAACGCTATAACTTCCACGTAAACCAATTAATTTACACATATTGGGATTTTTTTTTACCATAGATGTAGCAGAATACATTTTGGCCTAAATTTATGACTACATTTTTTTTTTTTTAAATTTTTACTGGACATGTTTAATAGCAAAAAGTAAAAAATGTTTTTTCCCCTCAAAATTGTTTTAAGCATGCAGAAATGCCTCTTCAAATACGCCTGTAGACACCTGTGTGTGCACAAAGACATAGGCTAACATAGAGGTACTTTTTACAGGCAGAAAAAAAAAAAAGCCAAATGCTGTAAAAGCGGTGCCAAGCTCCATCAGTGCTGATATGTTAGTGCTACAAACTACAGATCTGGGTTCAGGAATACATTTTTCTTTTGTCTTCTGAAGGACTCAGGAATTTTGATGGTCTTTGTTATGCTGCCACCTACAGGAGGATTGGACAGTAGCAAACAAAATAAATATTGTAGGCCAGCCCAGAAAGTTGCCTCCTGCTCTCTTCATGCCTCAGTTTTTTTCTTTTTTGTTTTTTCCTTGTGTTTCAGGAGAATGGACATCTTTTCTTCACCTTTTGCTGAGAAAAATCTAACCAATCTTTGCTAGCCTTTTTTTCTTTTGAATTTCTTCTTTCTGCAACTTCACCCAAGATTTCTCACTGCTTTGCAGCTAAAGCTGCTTTCTACATAGCAGCTATCTGGAGCTGCCTTTCTTCAGCTTGACTTTTGAGTGCCGTAACACTGGACTGGACATTTTAGGGCCATCATGAAATGTGACCCTCGAGTACGGTTTTCTACATTGTACTGTGTTTCATACCTCTGGGAAAAGTTGCCTGCAGAGTTCTTTCCATGTCTAGAGCCATGGTATTGCCTCAGTGCTTGAGCTAGTTTTTGAGGATTCACTTTGCTGAGTAGGACTAGTTGGGTTGAAGCGTAGAAAGCTACCTTTCTGTTGCACCACTGGGCACCTTTCAATTTTCAATTTTTCCGTTACTGGTGGTTTTACCATGGAAGGAATTAATGAAAAGGGTCTGAGATCTGCATCAACTGCTGAGTGGAGTGCTGTGAATGCTTCACTCTCTTTCCCATCACTCATAAAGGAAGCACCATGTCAGTGCTTGGGTTGTTCTAGTGCCAGCATACAGAGGCCTGGACACCTCTGGCCATCTGATCCCCATCAGTACCAGCTGCTTAGACTTGTGAGTAACTGAGGCCTTACCTTTCACTTCAGACCTTGTTCCACCACTGCCATGTATAGGTTCAACATATCTGTACATAGACCAGCAATGGGCAAACTACGGCCCGCGGGCCGTATACGGCCCGGCGGACCTTTTAATCCGGCCCGCGGAGCTAGGCTCCCGCAAGGCCAGTGGTCGGCAAGCCGCGGCTCTTTACAAATTTAGATGCGGCTCTCCTGTGTGCCGGGCGCCCGCTCCCCTCCCTCCTCTCCTCCTCTCCCCTCCCTCCTCTCCTCCTCTCCCCTCCCTCCTCTCCTCCTCCCTCCTCCCCTCCCTCCTCTCCTCTCGGATGGCCGCCCCCCCCTCTCGGATGGCCGCCCCCCCCTCCTCTCGGACGTCAGGACTCTGCAGCTGTCAGGATGTAGGCGGGGCAGCGTGACGAACTCCTCTCACAGTCCTCCCTGAAGACCAGAACGGCGCGGGAATACGAGAGGAACGCGCGGACCAAAGGTAAGTGAATTGACACAGGGGGGGGGACTTACTATATGGGGGATGAATTACTATATGGGGGACTTACTATATGGGGAATTAATTACTATATGGAGGACTTACTATATGGGAATGAATTACTATATGGGGGACTTACTATATGGGGAATGAATTACTATATGGGGGACTTACTATATGGGGAATGAATTACTATATGGGGGACTTACTATATGGGGAATGAATTACTATATGGGGGACTTACTATATGGGGAATGAATTACTATATGGAGGACTTACTATATGGGGGATGAATTACTATATGGAGGACTTACTATATGGGGAATGAATTACTATATGGAGGACTTACTATATGGGGAATGAATTACTATATGGGGGACTTACTATATGGGGAATGAATTACTATATGGAGGACTTACTATATGGGAATGAATTACTATATGGGGGACTTACTATATGGGGGATGAATTACTATATGGGGGATGAATTAATATGGGGGATGAATTACTATGTGGGGGATGAATTACTATATGGGGGATGAATTACTATGGGGGATGAATTACTATATGGGGGATGAATTACTATAGGGGGGATGAATTACTATGGGGGACGAATTACTATATGGGGGACGAATTACTATATGGGGGACGAATTACTATATGGGGGACGAATTACTATATGGGGGATGAATTACTATGGGGGATGAATTACTATATGGGGGATGAATTACTATGGGGGATGAATTACTATATGGGGGATTAATTACTATATGGGGGATTAATTACTATGGGGGATTAATTACTATGCTTACTATGGGGGAATATTACTATACTTACTATGGATGACACATACACATCATTCATCTACTCTTGGTCCGGCCCCCGGGTCCAATATATGAACCCATTGCGGCCCTCAAGTCAAAAAGTTTGCCCACCCCTGACATAGACACAAAGGGGAAAGTCCCACTGTTTCAGTGAACCCCAGCCCATACTACTCTTTTAATGCTTCCTGGGGTATCTACTCCAGTATCCTCTGAGTGTGCAGATGCCTTTTATCTGGATTCCAGTAGCCCTATATTTACGGAGTCTACATCATCGGAGTCTCCGTCATAGTTGGGTGATCCCCCTACCCTGGCGTCCTTGTTCTCTACTGCAGTCACTTGAGACTTGAGGCAAAATTCACTCAATTCCTCGTAGATAACTTCCTGCAGAGATTTTAAGTACTCCTCAGAACTATTTCCTTTAGTGTCTGTCTCTGACCTTCCCAAGCCCTTCAAACAGGTTGGACCTAGAAGTGCTGTGACAATCTTGACTCTTTAAAGAGGCTGTTTTTGAAGCACCACAGCCTACTGCCATCACCGCACAATTACAGGAGTCAGACCTTATTGATGCAGTATGTACTACGCTGCAATAGGAGGATCATTCTGTTATCTCCCGCCTTGGGTCTTTCAGAGTTCTTACAGTTGTAAAGACCTTTTCACTATATCTGCTACTTGGGGGTATTCCTTTTTGCTGACTGGAAGCGCCGCTGGGGTCTCTGGCAGGTTCAGCCTTCCTTCTTGTGGCTGTGACCTTAATCTGCTAAACTGTGGCAGAATGGGTTAGATCTCTCAGGAAGGATCTCTCCACCACTGAGTTAGATCCCTTTTTGGTTAAGCTTATGGAACAGATCTCTGGAGCCTTACACTTTAGTTGAGACACTCGAAACACATCATCCCAACTGGTGTCCTGTATGGGTTTGATGTCTGTGCAAATACACAGAGCACTCTTTTTAAGGTACTGGGATGCTGATGCCACATCCAAAGAATGTCTGATCATTTGGCTTTCAAGAGATGTTGTCTCCATAGACTGCACAAACAAAAGTTTTCCTAGAACACTTCCTAGCTAGCAAGCAAAAAAAAATAACAAATCACACCATTGAACATTTTGTGTTAAAAACATAGGTTTTAGCTGCACATTTGCAAATATATGTGGAAGCCGCATTGCCTTGTTGACCCTCCCCTGTAAATTGCGGTCCTAACTAATATTTGAGACTCTATAGGTTGCAGCTTATATAGCAAATAATAAATTAAAAGCAAGTATACCTGGAGGCAGCCCATTCCTTAAGGGCTCGTTCACACGTTTGTTCATTAATGCATCTATAGTACTTATGATGTGTTTTTGTTATGTTTATGAAACTATGAAAAAGATTCAAGAATGCTTGATAAATGCCTACGAAAGTGTTGCTTTTTTAGTGGGAAGTGATTAAAGGAGATGCGATTTAGAGAAATGGATCTACTTTTGAGTGGTTAGACTGTGGTGTGATGTCAGACATGTTTGTGAATTCTTTGCAAGATATAGCTTTGTATACTTCTTTGACACTTGGCTAGGTGTCCAGCTCAACTTTGCTGATCCTCTTCTGTTCCTTTCACACCTTGGCCCCTTGCTTCTACACCCTTGTCAGTGTGAGGGCACTATACTCCATCAGGGCTACCCCTCCCTTCCTAGGATAATTCCTGACCCTTTGGGTATATTAGGCCCTCAGCGACAGCTT